TCACCTGTCACCGCTGTGTCTTCAACCCAAGTAGGCAGACATAAAAAGTGCACTAAAGTGTTCTAATTTTTCGTTTTAAAATATATTAAAAATATATAAGCAAAAAAGATAGGAAAATTGTTTAAAAGCAGCTGAGTGAAAAATTCTTAACATGGACATGTAAAAATATTCGAAATTTTATTTTTAGTTTAGAAATATTATTTTTAATATTTATACATAATACTGGCATTAAAAAAGAGTAGTGTCATAACGAATCTTTAATAAAAATTATTTTTTCGAGTGCCATTGCATACCTGTGGATCTGACTTGGGGAATCTACTTGGCAGGGAAGACAGGTTGCTCTTCTTCGGATACCCGCTGCCGTACATCCTTGTGATTGACAGTCCTGAGAGTCGAGTGTTGACAGCACCAGGAGCTGCAGGAAAATCAGAATCTGAGCTCGGAGCAGCTGACTTGGCTCCGGAGTTCGCCTTGGGGTGTCGTTTGTGGTTTGGCAGCCATCTGGATGTGGGGAGAAAATGCTTATATGCATATATAATCCATATGCAGGGACACATATAACACTAGAGAAGAGGAAGGGCACTTACCATTCAGAGTAAAAACAAACAGGGTGAACCTAAATAGCCTTAAAATGTCAGACCAAAGCATTAGAAGGTCAAACTTTAACTTTGGCTTAAAGTTTGTGCTTGGTCTTTTCGTAAAAAAGAATTAAACACGAAAACACGAGTCAAATATAAAAGGAATATATTTATTAATGACAGACAATTTACGAATAAAAATAATCTCTTAAAATAACGGCTGAAGGCGGCTTAAATAATTGTTAAGCCAACTTTTCGACCAACTTTATTATCCCATTTATGGATTCATTAACATTTAAAGATTCACCTGATGAGACAGATATTTACCCCTCGGAGGGACTTATTTGCAATTTACAATTTATGTAATGTGTGCGTGCTTGTAATTTGCTGATTTAATTAGTGGCCATAACTCATTGTTATTGCCAAGGACGCGGCCAAGATAATAAATGACTTTTAATTGTTGGCCAGGCTGGTAATTAGTGGGCAATGGGATTGGGCCACGTAATAAATGAACGCACCACATCTTATCGATAATCTGGTAATGGAGTGCATAATGTGCTGAAAACGTGCGGCTACTGAATTAACCCATTTCTCGGGAGACGTTTTGGCAATTTGAGATGGTGGTGAATAATAACAAAACATTGCTTGAAACCCTAAGCACACATTTTTGTGAGTTGGCCAATTTCACCTGAGCTAGATCTTCGTAATTACCACATAGAGTGTGTGTATGTGTGGCTAACCAAGTTATAACAAAACCGCACGAGGGATAAGCTGCGCTCAAATCATGGCAAACATTCAACAATAATTAATAATCATTAGTAAGCCGCACATTATGAAGTGGTTGACTAAATATTGAAATTACTGTGATATTAATGCCAGGCCAGGAACAACATAAACAATGGCATTATTGTCCCGCAGATGAGCGGCAACAACAGCGATTGTCCTTAATGACAACAATGTGCAAACTGTTTTGCAACAAACGAGAAACGGAAAGTGGCAGCGGCAACAACACTAATAACATCCAGCCACAATGGCAATATTGTTGCTCTTGTACGAAAATTATGGACATGCGTGTGAACTGCAGGCATGTAAATTGAAACCGTGACACGCCCATTACCATTACCAAAGCCAAACGCCCACTTGCCATGCAGACAGCCAAACAAACGATGCGGCTGATTGTTTGTTCCAGATAAGCATTTCGTTTGGTCATAAATGTTTTAAGAAATTAAAATATAATAAATATTTTAATAATATTAAGCTTTAAATTTGAAAAAGTATTTTCTTTCATTTTATGTATTTTTCTATTATTTTATTTTATTTTATCTTTTCTCAAAAACTTAAAAATGTATTTTCCAAAGACCTCTAAACAAAACTTTACGATCATCGAACCTTAAGATCAGTTTCTTTAGATTTCAAGAAAATTTTCCCATAGAAATATTTTATCTTCAACAAACCAAAGTTGTCGACGTCTTTCCATGAGATATGGTTAACAGGAATTAAGCCGCATATCTCTGGTGCAATAACGGAGCGGCCCATCTCCCGGGGAAATCACATTAATAATGGCGCAGTAAGAGACGACGAATGGGAACAACAACGGCGACTGGCACTTTCGGCTGCATACTTTTCGGGTGCTGAATTTAATATTTGGAAATAATTATGCGAGTCCCGGGGTGCGTATGCGTAATGCGCCCAAGGCAGCGATTGCATATGCAAGTGTACGAGTACATTTTGCCATTATATTGCATAATTTATGCGCGCATTTAATTAAATTCCAGCCCTTTCACTTTGGTTTTTCCACCGATGACCCAAATACTCCACACAGACACACTTAATGCCTGCTTAATTTAATAAACTAACAATCCAAAGGGAAAACCTTAACTGTCAAAATAGCTTAAAATTAATTTCAAGCGTCATGCCCAATTTGTCACCACTTAAAATTAAAAAAATATATATTTATAACAACACTCGTACCAACAAATTTTTAAATTTTTCAACTGTGGTAATTTTTTACGAAAAACCAACCAATAATGTGTGGAAAGTTAATTGCATTTAATGAGCATTAGAGGGTAAGCGGATTGTGGATGCTGTTAAAAGCAAATGTAATTTCCAATTAAATAGGAACGTATGACTGCAATTAGTCTAGTGATGAACTCAATGCAATCAGTAGAGCATTTAAAACTATTTGCCGCACAAAAAACTCTTCAGAATTTAAAATTTTTCATATTGTTTTCCATATCTTTGCACTCTTCAATGATTATTCCTGAAGCTCTTGAAGGCAACACATAGTTTTTATTGATTATAATTTGATAAATGCAAATTTATTTGAAACTAATTTACTGTGAAACCCTACGGCTGTTGATTTGGTTTAAGCAATCAATAAGCTAAATGGACAAATTCAATTTAATAAAAAAATCTAATTACTAATTTTCAATTATAACATTACATAGTTGGTGATTTATTTGCAAATATATACCAATATATAGCATTTGCTCTCCCCGTTTTGCCATTTTGTTAATTAAAATCTAAAATTATACAAAAAAGATACTCTGAAACCACACTTTTCCCGCTGAATTATTTATGCTCCTAAATGAAAATGATGTTGAAACTATTTAGCCTAATTTATGAGATAAAACTATACGAACAAATTCAATTAGGTTCAGTAAGAGTTTAGAAAAACCAGCAGCAAAATTGTTATTTAAATGACAGTCAAGCGCATGACCCCAGGCGAAACGTGTTGCATCAGCATTAAATGCAATTAATAAATAATGAGAACACCGGCAAAGTGTCCTCAAAACTGGTCAGAGAATGGTGTAGTGTCCGTGACAAGTTGTCCTGCAAGCTTAACTTAATGTCCTTAGCAGAGGAGACAACAAGTGACCGACCGGCAGGGAAATTAGTTATGGTGTCGCACAAAGACAAGGACTAGGTCTCAGGACTCCATCCTTCGTCCTTCGACCGACGGCCATGTGTGAGTGACTTAGTGCCCCGCATGCCTGATCCGTCATCATTAGTTGAATATGTCACAACAGACACTTGGCCCAATTGATTTAGTGTCATGCACTGAGCTCAACAGTTCACTTGCCGTCTGTCATTTGGCATCTAATGCTCCTTCTCGTCCTTATCTTCATCCTCCTCCTTGCAGTTGTTGGTCAACATTCCCTGTTGACACACTCCATCCAAAGATCGATGGCATACAGAAGTTAACGACAAGTGAATTTCAAACACTAACTTGATTAGCTTGGGGTTTAATTAATCAAACAACCAGACATACATGAGAACCAATCAGCCACTTGAAATGGACAATTACTTCATAAGATCATTTTATCTTCCCAAGTATTTTCCATTTGGTTAATAAAATATGTTCATTTTATTAACAAGGCGAGTTAAATAAACATATTTTTTTACTTAAACGAAACACAATTACACGAAATACTTTATAAGCATATTATTATCAATATTTTTGGTAGAAAATATATTTTCACAAAGCTAAATATTAATGAGTTTTTCTGTTTATGTAACCAAAAGATGAAGAAGTATTTTGCTTGATAGCTTAGGTCTTAACTTAACAAATTATCTAAGCATATTATTATTTTTCTATTCATGAAATGAAAAAGCCAAACATCATTCGATCAAGTGTACAACTGACAGTAAAAGTCAATAGCTTGATGACTCCGGACTTAACACGGCTGCAGGATGAGATGAATATTCATGAACTGCTGCCCATCCCTTTTCATCACTTCAAAGTTAGCCTCCTCTGCAAGTTTTGAACGACAAGCCAAAATTATAATTCCAGTGCTCGCGTAATGCGCACAAACGTCAGTCTCATTAATTTTGGGCCAGTTGCAGTTTTAAAATTTAGTGCTGGCCCCCAAGTTAATTAACACCTGAGCCTTGCCAGTGGGCGGTTGGGAAAAGCAGTCTGGAAAATCGGTTGGGAAAATCGGGCTTGTTTCAGCCAGCCACTTCAGTCACACTTTTGTGCTCGGCAGCCGTGTGCACTGACGCAAAGCGGAAGTGGCACTTTTACCCAACAGAAGCTGGAGCGGAATTCAAGTTGGAACGGGAAAATGGGGATCGGGAGCTGCCACCAGCAGGCGTATCGAAAACCGAAACTTTTGATGGAAAAAGTTTGCAACAACAAACGCATGTTGGCGGGCAAAACAGGGAAGCTGAATGGCCGTGGTAAGAGCGCCTTTAAACCATCAAGTAAGTCGCTATAATTCCCTGGCACCGCCTCATGAATTTTTGATTCATTCTTTGCATTTTTCACTCCGCCAGCCATTCTATCGCGTTCACTTTAATCTCCGTCTTAGGTTTGAATAATGAGTACTGGCCAAGGTGCACAAAACTGGGACACAATCGTGCGTGGCTTAATATATACGATGGCTTTCTTCAATCAGATTACTTAACTTTTCAGATATATAAAGTTCACACAAGGCAGAACCGTGCTTTATTTTTAAAATGCAGCAAAATGTTGTCATTAAATTGGCTTAAAAGTTAAAGGATTTATTGTTGAAAAGATAATCACTAGTCTTTTATTTTGTTAAATTTTGTTTTCCATATTTAAAATGGACACTTTTAGTCTAATTGTTGAACACCAAAAATTCGAAGTCGAAATGGGAACAAATAAAAGTTTGTCGAGGCGCAATAAAGAAACTAAAAATGCAACAGAGGCAACTTTGTTGAATTTGTTTTTTCCTGCTGATGCTGCAATTTCTTTAAAAGCCGCTGCCTGCAGCATGCTGATGACTTTGTCAACAACTTAAATTGTTTGGCGGCAATAAAATTGAGAAAAGTTTAAGTACATTTGGGGCACTAAGCAGCTTCTGTTTTCTTTTGATGTTTGAGTGCACTAAGTTAGCCCAGATTAGACAGATATTATCTGCAATTAAAGTTTGATTTAAAAACAATAAACATTTTTAATGCTTGTAAATTAATATTAACACCACTAACAAAACCATGCAAAGGTTATAAAGAACGCAGATCCATAGTCCAACAGAGTTACAATTTCTCAAAAAATTATATGGACGTTGATCTTGTAATGGGACATTTTCCATATTACTTTCGTTGTAATTTTCTTCTGGTTGTTCCTCGTCCATTTCTAAAACAAGATGATCCATATCAATAATATAGCAGTCTTCCTCTTTGATTTTCCTTAAATATTATTTAATTTTTTTTAATATTTACAGCTTTTTATAATATTTTTAAAATACCTCATGATATTTAAGCTCGCAGTGATCTTCTCAGCTTAAAGGCTCTGGATAAACTAAGAATTGGGAAAGAGCACGTAACTCACTGAAATCAAGTACAGGCAAAAGACTTCCCAGAAATCGAATTTCCATAAGGCTGCAACACTCAAAAAAAATAACTTTATGAATTAATATTAAAGCGACAAATATTATTTAAAAGAATATGATTGGTCAAACCGGTGTGATTATAAATATATGTTATATAAAAATATTTTATTTAAAATATTTAAAAATATTTTTTACTATTATTATATTAATTCTTTAAATTAGTTATTTAAGGAATATCACAAAATAGCAAAAAATGCATATAAATAAATCACATAGACTATATTATGGTTAGAATATGGCAACAATATTAAGAAAAGGAATATAATTAAATAAATATCCTTATCTTAAAACCCTCAACCCCAGCCTATCAATGAGTAAAGAGACCACAATTTAAGAGAGTTCCAAGACACCAAAAGAGAATCTAAAATCAATTATTACTTAGTCGTATTGAATGACATCTTTAACCCTTAACTGCATCACACATCTTGAATGATTTCTTATCAAAATCTATTTTCTGTGATATTAGATAATATGTTTTTCATAAACTGATAAAAACGATAAAGTTCTGTGAAGGAGATCTTTATCTCAAATCTCTTATTTCAGAGTAAGTTTCTTGTCACTCTGGGTCTTTTCTTCTCTCTTTTTTTGACGGGTTCCCTCAGACTTATATAGATATCTTATCTGAGTCACAAAAAACCTTTACAAAAAACGTTGTCAGCTCTTGACGGTTCACTGTTTGCCTTGTTGTTGCTTCAATTAACACCTTTTGCCGTGGCGATAATAACGCAGACCCCAACTGATTGGTAATCAAGAAAAAAAAGGGAAAGAAAAAATCAGTGAAAATACTCGGTGGCCAGCGAAACGCTCTTTAGTCGAGCAAAGAACGCGTTTCGAGATGGACACGGATGAGACAAAGGCGGGCACCTCGGGCCCAAAGACGTACCACGATGAGGTCGACTTCACCAGTGGCTATGAGACCCAGTACCGTAAGGAGTACAGCCCATTGAAACCGATCTACGTACCGCCGCCGGATAAAAAACACGCTTGGTTTCGCAACTGGTCTACCATATTGATGATTTTCTTTTCTGACCGGAGTCTTTATTTTGGGAACTGTGATGCTGGTGGTCCAAGTATTCACTGCCAGTCCCTTGCAGATCTTCATGATCGTGGCTATATATGTGGCTATAGCTGCTGTCATGATTTGGCTGGAGGTTCAGTCCATAAAAGTGCGGTGAAATAATAAGTTTAGTGACTAATTCACTACGTTATCACATAAAAATGCCGTTCTATTTTTCGACGGTGGCAATCGAGCTGTGTTGTGCAAACAAATTGAAAGCTTAACTAAAAAGGAAACGACTTTACCGATTAGGCGCTAAGAACCAAATACCCAAGATTTAATATAAGTTCAAAGTAAAATAAAAAATGAAACCTTAAATCCATGTGTTTTATTTCTGACTAGACAGTGCTTAAAACATTCCTCGATAATTTTAGATTTAATCAACCAATTATTTACAACCCATAAATGAACGTAATCTGGAGAGCAAAAACGTTGGCCAGATAAAGGGCTTTGCGCCATTGAAGTGGCAGGGAGATAAGCAAACAAAAGTTAATGGAACAACAATGAATTGTTGGAAACAATTTGAGCCATTTAACTGCAAAATAAATACGCACTTCGTATAACATTGTGAAAAAGACAAACATTAAAGTGACATATAAATTAATGCAATATTCATCAAAAATAGATTAACAAAGCGTAATAAATACAATAAATGCCTTATCAATTAACTATTAAAATCAAATACGGTAATTCGAATTTAATTAATAGTTGTCATAGTTAGTGCTAATAGTTGGAGTGCTAATGTAATTATATTAAAGCAAATATACCTTATTGAAAGTGTGAAATAAAGCAAAATATTTACAGTTCGGCATCATCTGCGTTTGGTGTTTGACACACAGAATAGTTATCAACTTTCGCTTTCAAGTAAAAGCAAACAAATTTTCAATTACAGCATTTCCCCATCGAATTTTCACATGCACATATTTCTAAATCACTTCTGTAATTGCTTTTCCACATGACACTGGTGGAAAAACTCAGACTCCCTCTCTGGGTCGAGAAAATTTCGAAATTTCCCATGTTTTCGCAACAGCTTTTTTTCGTTCCAACTTCTGTGTCATCAAGTTGGTAAAATTCTATTTTAATAGCTTGAATTGTTACGAACATTTGGTCAGCATAAAAACAGCCGGACAAGCTCATTTTGCACTTGAAAATTTTAGTAAAAAAAACTGTGTCCCATTAAACTTTAATTTCCGTTGACAATGGACGACACTTTTTGCTCATTTCGTTTTTTCCTCGTTTTTTTTTTTTGTTACCACTCGAGACAGGGGCAACAGCTGACTTACCTTAATTACTCACAGGATTCCGAGCCATGCTAATTATTTGCAGGGTGCACTATTCCGCCGACGAGACGCAGGAAAAGTGGAGAGCGTCGCCAGCGCATTTAATTATAATGGCGCGAAGGGCGTTGGGCTTAGGCATTAATGCCATTTCCGGTCGCCAACCACCGGAGACTAAGGCGCAACCTGCAAGCCAACACTTTGTTCTGCGTTGGGGCAAAAACACTAGCTTGGTTGAGAATACCCTGGAAAAGGTTTAGGCGGATGGGCACCGAAGAAGGCTTAAAGTTTATAACTTTTTGTAACTTAAGTATAGAAAAGATTTAATCAAACGCTTCCAAATTTAAAAAAGTAGTTTTCCAAATATTATAAATTATTTTTCAATGTATATATATAAATTCCCAGACTAACATTTTTAAGAATATCAACATTTGTTCTTGGCATCAGTATTGAACGTACCTTTCAAATGCCTTAAAATTGTTAGTTCCTTAATTAAAGGCTCGCTGAAGTTGCGTTTAAACCATTTTGCAGTTGGATATTACGAACTGCCTTTTTTATAGAAGCCAAAACAACCTTGAGTCGAAGCTCAGAAAAAATATTCGATATGCACATGCATTATTTTGCATTGATTTATTGGTCGATTGCCTGCTGGCTCAATATTGCACATAAAATGCATTTAAACAAAAGCTGTCTTCCATTTTATTTCTCTCACTTTTTAAATATTTAAATCACAGCATTTTGCACAAACGAGCACCACCTCCATTATTCAGAGTTTGAACAAGCCGGCGAAAAAGGACACAAATGAGAAACTCAATTGCAAAGCAACTGAAGGACGACTGTGGAAATGCAAATAAAATGTTTTGGCTGCATCCTCACAATCTTCAGCTGCACTGGGGAGCCAAGACATTTGACTCCACAGCCATTTCGGCCATTGCCTGGGGAAATGTGTCTTAGAATTTCTTTAAGTAAATCTCACTTGAACGCTTTTCATTAGGCCATTCAGCAAGCACGAGGCAGCAGAATGGAAAATGAATAGGGGACAAATAAAATAAATACTATTTCCATGCATGACTCTAAGCAATTTATTCATAAATCACAGAAAATAGAAAACAAAAGCACTGGATGTTCACTTAATGCACAGCTTAAATTTAACTCACTAAGTTCAACTATTGGCCAAAGTATTGCATAATACAGTATTTTATTTCGAAATTTACGTTTAAAATTTATCATAGATTTCGCTATTAAAAAGCACTTTTTCAGTCGAACACTCACAATGCCCACAATACACGGCAATTTTATGTTAATTATTTATGCAAATTTTCAATACTTAAGCGGCCTTTTTCATACGCACAATGTATAATTTAATTACGACAAGACTACAAAGTGCGACCGCATTAATTAAAATTTCAACAATTTCAATTGCAAAAAAATGATTTCTTTAGTAGTAGTTTTTAAAGCGCACAAAAGATGGCTTTAATAAAAACAATGGAAAGTTCTTTTACTCTAAATTGTAGCGACGATGGGGAAGAGGTTCATCAGGACCATTGGCAAGCCAGCACCCATTTGAATATTCAATTAAGTCTAACTGCCAATTCAGTGATAAGACCCTCTCTGAGTTAGCTCCCCCCCAAAAATAAAGCAAACTGTAAGGCCTCCTCAGATGGCCTTGGAACATGGCCCACTGGTGATAATTTCAGTTAATACCCAAAAGGATGACACTAAAAGCGTTGAGTGGATTTCACTGAGGATCGCAAGAGTGCTGGCCTAAACATAAAATGGATTTAGTTTTAAAATGTTTAAATTTTTGTATTTAAAAAAGGTTTTTTGTTAATACTCCGTCCTTACCAAAAAATATTTTATATTTTTTTTTTTGATACCGAATATTTTTATGGATGCTTTTCTCCATTGTGTGAAATCTTTTTTTTTTTAAAACATTTGAAATTGATTTTTTTTATATTTCAGTGTTTGTTACTTTCACTTCTCTTCAACGGCTTTTAAATCAAGTAAATTTGTATATATTGGGCTTGGGTAGATTCGGTAGAGTAACGAGCATGTCAAAGCATTTTTGTGACATCTTTTATTTATTTTATAACCAACAAAAGCCAACAGTCGAGAGGAGGCAAACAGCATGCATAAATTACCGCAGAGCGACACGAAGACCAAAGTCCTCTGGATTCAGCTCCTGGTGGCCAAAGCCATTGCCATTGCCATGCAATGCAGAAATTTTGTTGAAATATTAAAAAAGAGGCCAAAACTGTGAGAAATGTGGCCAAATGCAGATGAGCGGGCACAAAATTCTTTCTCCATTCAACTTTTTGGACACTTTTCGAAGCCCCCTTCCTTGGCAGTTTTATTTTTGTATTTGTATTTGTTGAATGCTAAAAAGGCCACTTTAGTTTTAACCACAAAGTTTGCTGTAGTGAATGTGTATATGTTCGGTCGACCTCGTTGCACTTTTGTTTTTGGCCAAGGGGCATCGGTCTTTCATGTCATTTAACCATGTTTCGGCCAGGACAATTGGGCCTTTATCCTGGCTGGCTGGGGCCATAGGATCTCTACGCAGTCCGGCGTTGATTGCCAGGCATTTAAAGTGTTTTCAATGTAAATCTATGTAAATACATGTTGCCAAATAAAAAGAAAGACTCTCGGCCGAAGTGGAAACTCTCGTCTGGATAAATGGCATAGCCATATTTATTCGTTTGCCCATGTGTGCTCTCTTCAGACGATTCCTAAGACTTTAAGCCACTGGCTCCCTAAGCTCTGCGGCATATTTATGCACATTTTTTCGATTCGTATTTTGCTTTCATTTCTGCACTTGTTTTTCCTCCATTTTTAGTTCGTTGTCGTTTTGTCGTTTTGTTTTGCAAAAACCTTGAATCGGTCGCATTGATTGGACGTCCTTGCTTTTGATTGTCCTACGTGTATTTGTTTTGTTTATATTTGCTTTCGGTAGCACTTGCTGCATTTAATGGCATGAAAATTAATTTGACATTTAATACGGTTGTTCTATAGGCGCCCCAATCGCCCCATTTTGATTTTTTTCGTATTACGTATTCATTGTTTTTATGTTTACGGAATATACAAACAAATTGCTGCCGCATATTTTATGTATTGCTTTTATTGTCACGTGTCGCCAGCCAGTGATGCCTGCATATTATAATTATAAATTGTGCAAATAAATCAGCCAAGTAGCGACCTGTTAATGTGTTAATAATTGCCAGCCAAGTGCTGTTCAAAGTGTTAATGTCTTGTTAGTCTGCCTGAGTGTGTGCAGTGTACCTGGCGTATGATTGATTAATTTAATAACAAGGATAAGTAGTGGAAAGGATGGAACATAGTTATAAATTGGGTAGAAGATTTTCATATAAACTAATTTAATTAAGTGTCACTACTGATCGAATTTTTATGTTTAATAATAATAGTTTATTTATACAAAAAGTTAAAAATGCTTTGAGATTTGGAAGTTGTTTAAGTAACTATTATACATTTATGAGAGTAGAAAATTAACTGAATGTCAAAAATACACGCCTACATCTCGTATACGTAATATTTGAATTTTGAAATTAGGTTCGTGTCCAAGCTGCAAAAAGAAGCTTTACAGTCAAACTTTAACTTTTTAAGCTTGTTTCAGTGAAGCTGTCTTGGGTAACAAAATGGTTAGACTTGATAAACATTTTTAAATTTATATTTTGTATAAAAATTTATAAAATTAAATTGTTTTTCTTTCCTCTCAACCAATGTGTTAAAGGGCAAATTTTAATTATCCAAAGCTAAATTCAAACAAGAGAAATTAAAAAAAACTCGGCAACCCTGGCTCATAACCAAGGAGCCCAAAAAGCACCGACAAGCGACTCAGCCAAAGCGAAAGCTCTCTATTTGTCGTCAATTTTCCGGCATAACAGACGCAACATTTGCCAAAAGAGTAACGCGCGAGCTGCGTAGAGCGGAAAAGTAAAGTCCAGTGAAACTAGTAGCAGTTAAAAATTGCAACAAAAAATAAAACAAACCCAAAAGCAATCCAATTAAAACCTAAATGCTCAATGAAAATGTGAAAAGGAAACGAAAGAAAATAAACCCTGAACTATGGAAAATGTGAGGCCGAAACAGGAAAAACTGTTGGGGGGCAAGAACATTTGTGCAAGAAAACTAAGTGCAATAAACTGTGAATAATCCCAGAATTAGCGGCCTGTGCATCGGGGGGGAAAGTGGGTGGATGGAAAGTTGGATTCGGTTCCATTCTATTGCTGAATGTCCAGATTTATATTATGCAAATTAATTTCAATTGGTTTGCACTCTGGACTCTGCGGCACTGTTTATTGTTGCTGCTGCTGCTGCTGCTGTTGTTCCTGCTGCTGTTGCTGTTGCTCTTGGTCACTGTAGTATTGTGTAGTAGTCGTAGTACTATCACTACTACTATCACTATCACTATCACTACTATCCACAACCTTCCTGTTTTCGTATACACAAATTCGGCAATGGAGTTTTCCCAGCCTCACTCCCTTTTCCTTGCCATTTTCATTTCCGTTTCCCCTAATAACAAGTGAGTGTGTGTGTGTCTGTGTGTGTGTGCGTGCCTGGCTTGATTTACCGGCTTTTCTCCGGTTGCAAACTATGAAAATTGTTTCCCAAGAATTTTTTAATCATACGAGAATGTAACGTGCAAAAAAGGACGAGCATAGTTTGGCAAGCTTTACGTGGAAAAGTAATTAAAAAGCTAGCCAAAGAACGCTTGTGTTTATGGCTAAGAGAGCGTATCCGGAAACTATCCCAAAGATGCCAATTACAAGTCGTTAAAATTCACCTTTAAGTGGGTAATTTTTTAAATAGTTCACCCAACTTGACTGAAAGTTCAGTCTGACAGTTAAGCACTGCAAATGTTCGACATTTACTTTAATTGTCATTGCACTTCCTCAAACAGATTTTGAGTGACGAAGTAAATTACAAAAATTAAAGATGCGTAACCACAGGTTATCGCATTATGGCAATGAAAAACCCTTTTATTAGTTTTAAGTAGTCATAGACATTTTACAAATGGTTCTTAAACTTGCTTATTATTTATTTATAATTATTTATTCAATATATATTGTATAACTTTTCTGTTTTTTTTTTACTTTTCCCTTAACCATTAAGAAACCCAACTCCAAATTAAGCATTTTCATAAAAGCAGACCTTAAACTAACCAATAAAAAACAAAATTTTAATCAAGATAATAACGGAGTGCTCCCTTCGCATACGAAATGCAGCAGCTGCAGCTACATATAGTGCTGCTTATTAAAAGCCAACTTAAAGTATAAATAAACCCTCCGGTTGACAATAATATCAATTACAATATCGTCGACCGGCCGAGTCGGTCGCCAACAATGGAAGAGACCTGCACGAGACTCTCATTAAAAACCACACAAGCACTCGCACACACAAAAGCGGATCGAAAAGAAGCCAAAAATACAAAGTTGTAACAAGGCAAGACAACATTTATATAGTGCAGCAGTCAGTCGGTTGATGCTAAAGCTCGGCCACAAAACCTCGTCAGCACAATCACAGCAATTGCTGCCAGTCTCCAGACTGTATACCACACTGAGAGAAAATATATTTTCTTTAAATTTATTTTAATAAATTTAAGACGTTAGAAAATGCCAACTTATTAATGTCACAGTTTTAGTTTTTCACCATATTTATTCACCTTGTACTCCAAAAAGTATGCAATGCTTTAGGGAGATGAAAGTTAGACACCCATTAAGAAAATTTCAATTCCGCAAAAGTTTATATGATTAAAATCAAATATAGTTTTTGTTTTTGTTCTCTGTGGAAATGGAAATGAAAATGAAAATGGAACCGGGAATGGGATTGTGTTTGGAGAATGGCACTGGGAGTGATGGAGGGGAGTTCCGCCATAATGGGGAACCTCTGACAGACCAGACAGCCAGTAGTCCATGTGAGCCGGGACTGCGGCGGTAGTTGCACAATTTTGCACAAAAGCCAAAGCATAATCATGAATAATGAGCGTTTGTGATAAGTGATAAATGCCCGGTGGCAAATGCACAGGGAATTTAAATAAGAAGGAAATTGTTTTCATCGCATCGGCCTGGGAAAACTTTTTCCAATGGATCGATATTTTGAAATTTGCATAATACCAATTTATTTTGAGTTGATGTGTAGCTATGTTTCAGACTTTTGGGTACTTCAATGAGGTTCCCTTTAAAAAATTACTTTAAAATATGTTCTAGAGAATTTAAATCTGTTTAACTTAAATTAGGCATTTACCATTTCTGCATTTCTTGCAGTTTTCAAAATATTGTTTACTCCATCGTTTATATTCTTAAGAGTAATTTGAGTCAAACAGGTTCCCCCTGGGTCTTAAAATTGCGACTGAGACATCCCATTTCCCACCGGGCAGCCGCTGAGCCCGTTTTCTCGCCCGACTTGTCTGATGTCTCAGTCTTGTGCTCTGGTCTTCCAGTCGGCAGATTTGACCACCCCAGCGGCTCACAGTATAGTTCGAATCGGGAATCGGTGCGGTTCAGTTCGCAAATGCGCGCCAAAGGTGCATACCTCAAACAAAAATACAAAAAAAAGATCATTCAAAGACAACACACTTTTAAAAGTTTTTTAATTTTCCGAAAACTTCCGGATTCTGTGGAAAACTTAATTTGATTGGGAGTTTTTCTTTCACTCAATCTGATTGGCGTTTGTGGCAGTTCATTTTCTCTGCGTTTATTTACGCCGTAGTTTGCCGTCTAGTTTTGTCAACTTTAATTGAAATTAATTTACTTTCTTCACATAGTATCTGCCAGATACAGATACATCTATCCTCGTATCTGTGTGCACATGCCGCTGAGTAAACAGCCTTGTATGCGATCAGATTTGAGCGCAGAGGTCAGCAAATAAACAAATTGTCGCACATTATGGTTTTTATTATAGAACCACGATTCATATGCAAAATGAGAATAAAGTGTGAGAGGGCCCATCACGACTAGAAGTGTGCAAACTCAACAATTCCTGATACCCATCTGGCTGGCATCTCATCGCAAAAGTGCCGCCCTTTTCGGGTTTTCCCGAGATTGCATTTGCAATCACCGAATGCAAATCACAGCGTGATGAACTCAGGCAAACTATTCTTATTTTAGATATATATATACGTATAACCGCATAGATATTCGTATTTATAGAGGGGCGAATAAACGCGATACCATTTGCATACAAAACACTTGAATACCCGCATTAAGTCGCATAGGCAACGCCTGGAATTTCAATAAGTTAAAAGTTGGCAAACTAATCAAAATCACCCATTCTTCTTCCAGCACTTGACAATTATGTAAAGCTTCTCTCTCGCCCGAAAACAAGTTTGCAAACAACAAAAAATGAATAAACTCGTGGTACCGTAAAACTATCAAAAGACTAAAGAATAAGTGGCAACAACTCAACTCAACTCAACTCAAAGGAAACAACAAACGAAAACTCTCTCAGAAAGTGCAAGCAATTAAAAATAATTTCACAGTTTGCTAACGAACAAGAGCAGCGAAATACAAAATATAATAAAACAGAAACCGAATCTTGAATGTCGCGCAAAATGTTGCAAGTGCCGGTGGCAACACTCGTGCTGCTGTCGTTGCTGCATCTTGCTGATGTCGCTGCTGTCCCAGATGCAGCAGCGCCAGCTACAGCAGCAGCTGCATCAACCACAACGACAACCGGAATCGATGCCAGCCTAAAGAATGCCAAGTTGATTGAGGGCAAAGTGCTCCCCGATTTGGCCATCCTGCAACGCGTTAACCAGGAAGACGAAAAGTGGCAGCAAGTCTACCGGTTTATCGACGATGGATTTCCCGTCCTCGAGTTATATGGCTACAAGCCGAAATCGGGTGAGTACTGAAAAAAGGAGAAAATTAGCATATTAGAAGCGTTCATATATTTAATTTCACATATATATTTCCAAATTTATAATATCTTTACAAAATTTGATAGAAAAAGATTTTTTACAAAACTTATAGGTAGACAAGTATTTAAGAAAGTAAAAGGGTTTGATATGAAAACCCGATTTATAATTTGATTTCTAAGGGGTACATCAAATATCAAAACACGTTTATCAAAAATTCTTAAAACATAGGTTGACTTATAAAAAACTTATTATTTTTTCTAAAACTTAAGAAAAGAGGGAGTTCAAAATAATATCGAAAATTTCTGAAGGGCCGAATACTACAACTTGTTATAAAAGTTCTGTTCTATATAATTTTCCCTAACTACAGTAGTTTCTTGTAATTAACAGTCTTAAAGTGTTTAAGACTGGCTGTGCTATTAAGCATTAAGCTATTCGTAAACATAGCGAAAACCCATCCCAGTCTTAGCATTTCCAAAATAAGTCCCCGATCCAGACGAAAGACATTCATTTCACTTTTATCCACCGTTTCGTTCATTACCTGCTGGTAAAGCCATAGCATTTGTGTCTGAAAAGAATAATAAAAATATATTTTATAAATATTTATATTTCTAGTCATTTTAAAAGCTAATTTTTCTCACCTGTCGTTGTGGTCTGAAGTTTGCTTTAAAATGGCCAAACTTTTTCTCGGCAGAATTGATAACAACATTGATATGTAGAAGTGCTACAGGAAATAAAAATATAGCTAAGAGGGTATGACCAAGGTGCTTAACTGATTGCTGATCATAGAGGAGTAAATGGAAGCTCGCTATGAAAAGTAAAAAATTTTCCAATAAAATGGTCCACACAAAGGGTCTGGCTAAGAAGTCGAAGTTTTGCCTAAGTCTGATCAGATGCCTGTAGAAGACGTAAAGTTGGAATGATTTTTGCTGGGAAAGATCTTGAATGTCATAGCAGGCATGAAGGATGAGGATACCTAGGAGGACAACGAAGGATAATAAAAAGGGCTGCAGGCATATAAAGAGTATTCCAAATTTTTGAACAATTATGTCCAAGTTGAATCGTAAACCGATAACCAGACCTTTAGTTTGTATAAAGGGCGACATTGAAGCGGAAACGATTCTGTAACCCTGAATTCCGAAAAGCCACCAGTTTATTCTAGGGGCTCGTCCACAGATCTTCTCGTAGCTAAAATAGATCCTAACAAAGCCATTGAGCACTTTTTGAATCAATTTTTGATGATATCTGCACTTGAAGTTGTTGAATATTGAAAAAATATAAAATATTTAAGAGAATTAAGATTGTATTTTATAAATAAATCAAAACTACCTGTAGTAATAGGCCAATCCCATGCTCATGAACAAATTCTGGTATTTGGCGATGGTCATTCCCTATTATATAGATGAGATTCAGGGGTCTTTCGCTTCCTGGCGTGGCATCTGCAAGTCCATGGAAGGAACTCCGATAACCAGTGGCTGGTATGCAACATAATAACAACCAATAGCCAGGGTCGTAACCAGAATCTATGTATAGTCCGCACTAGGAAATGCATCTTCGGATTCAGTCGAAATACCCGCTTGCCTTCGACATATCTGTAGATGTTGCAACCCGTAAGCGTTGTCAGTACTTGCAACAGCTGCAGAATGCTCGTTAGACAGGACATGGTGCAACTGACTCTCAGAAACAGCTTTAGACAGCTGAAAAACTCCGAAAATGGGAAAATGGAAAGGTGTGACATTGACAAATGACTTCGCTCAGCTGTCCAAATGTTGATCATAAACAAAAAATACCCAATTTACCCATTACCATTGGCTGGGAAAATTAGAGTATTAAAGGACAGAAAAAAACAAGCCGAAGCTTTAGATACCGCCAGTTTATGGAAAATGTAAATTCAATACGTTTTATTTTACCTCAGAAATAATCTACATAAAAGACCAGAATAAGCTCTTGTTCTACATAATATATTCCATGTGCAATGAAAATGAAATGATAATGCATTTTCCTGCAGCAATTAAAATTAAAATAACTTTTTTTACTCTACACATATCACAAAATTATATGAATGAATGATTTCACGCTAGCAAAAACATTGATGAATTAATAGTGAGCAAATGCAGCAAAAACTGTCATGAATTAAAATTTGCTTGTGAAGTAAATATATTCATGGCAGATATTAAGTGAATGCTTAATTTCAAAACAAAAATAATATTCATTTAAGAAATCGCTTATGAATATTAAACTCAAACTGGCAGTTGAAAGTATGAATTCCAACTTTTAGGCATTATAAACAAGACATAAAGTAATTAGGAATCATTGAAAATAGCTTTTGACACACCCACCCGACATAACAGTCCGAGACGCGTGTGCCATACTAATATAAGTTAATTAAAGCCACGAATTTCCGCAGACTACACACAGCCAACCAAAAAACAAAAATGATGTACCCACGGCAGGGGCCAAAGTTAATTACTTGATTAGCATGCAGACAGGTTGGGGATTCAGGTGTGCTGAGCGCAGCACTTAGCCGTAAATGAAACGAAAACAGTTTACATTTTTAAGTGAGCAATTCCCTTGGTAAAAACTGGCTCTCCGTCTCCTTTGCATGTACCCGCGATTCCGGTTGGACACATACTCCGGCGGAACATAGACCTGCCCTACACATTGATTGTGCCCAAAATCGATGTACGAAGCATTGAGAAGCCGCGGCTGAAGGAGTTCATGTTGGAGCATGTGGTGCCTGGGAAAGTCTTTGACAGCTACAGCACGGTGGGCAATGGTAATGGTAACAGCAAGGAGGAAGAGGAGTCCTTCGGCAATGGGAACGGACATAAAATCGTTTTTCGTAAATTGGAAAAATCCCACAACAATGTTTGGCTACTCAATGGCCAGCAAATACTCCACAAGCTGCGTATCAATGAGAACCTGATGGCCATTGCAATTGATGGTTATTTGGGCGATAGGAAGTCGCCCTACTCCAAGCGCAATATTCAGGAAACGAACAAGTGAGTATAGCCACCGCCACCCATTCCCATACAGTGGGCCTTAAATATAAAATAATGTTGCGATTTTATTAATAGGGCAAAGTTAACAAAAAAAATTAAGTTTCTCATTTGAAATTTTAAACAGTTAAGTTAAACAGTTACTTATTTTTTTAATTAAAAAAATAAAAATAATACATTTATGCCACTTGTTTAAAGCCACTGTGAAGGACTCCTGCTAAGTTCCTAGTCCTAGTTTGTTTGCGGTCAAAAGTGCACTCATGCGAAATTTATCAGGCGGCAAACAAAGTTTTGCTGGTCCAACTTTTCGCACACACACACACACTCTGTAAACTTTAGGGGTTTCCTCTTCCGCTATTCTGTCCGAGGCCATCTCAATCTCAATCTGTGGACCGAGTACCACCACATCCCCATAATCATCTACTGCATATTCATTGCACACAGAGAAACAGATTAGTCTATGATTTTTGTGGTCAAGAACAACTTTATCCATTACCTTTATTCCTCTCCCAAATTAAAACAATGCTTAGCAAATTATATAAGTTTTACAAACTACAATTTTTTTTCTCTGTGTTTTAAACAGCCGCTATAACGACCCCCAACCGCTGGAACAGCCGAACATTACAAATGCACATGCTAAGGTGGAGCCCGTTATCAAGGAATCGAAGGCCAGTCCACTGATGTCCTTTTTGGCCAACATGAAGACGGGTACCAAGGTGTTCCAGCACTTCCTCTCCAAGAGCAATCTGACCCGCATTATGGACGACAATGCGTATACGGTCCTGATTCCATCGGACAACGCCTTCCAACGATGGCATCCCATCGACTGGGGATTCTATCCGTTTTCCGTACCGGAATTCACCGAGTCGGTGCTTAGGAATCACTTTCTTCCCATGCAGCGACCCCTGCGGCTGGCCGATGTTCGGAATATGGACGAAGTCGTTGTGACCACCATGGGTGGCGAGGATGTCATCTTCCACGGCCAACGTAAGTGGCTTCCATAAATTACATTCCCAAATTCAATTTATGACAACGCTATGTGGCGCTTCCCTCGTTCGATAGCCACTCCCACGGTGAATAATGTGAGCATTATGTCCGACTACAACCTCTCCAATGGCAATCAGGTCTTCATTATCTCCGAGGTCCTCTTCGTTACCGAGGCTGTGGTCTCCAAATTACATCAGGTAAGCTGATTATGCCAAATCCAAACAATGGGTCAAAATCGGTATTCGAGGGGTCGATGGAAAAATTAAACAAGGTTTTTTTAATATTTAATATCTACCTATATCGTTAAGGATAAAAATATTTATAATATATAATATATAATATTTTATTTAATATTTAAACTCCCATAGATGCACAAAGATAAGGAGACGCCTCCCCTTCTGGCATTCCCCTGGTTTGGAGCACAGTTCCTGTCCCATTCGTTTTTGGCTTTGGAAAGGGATCCTCGATTTACACAGATTACTAGGTATAATATTTGGAAATTAAACTTAAGCAAGAATATATTTAAAAAATATTAACAATTCCTTAAAGATACCTAAACAGTGCCGAGATTGCTCCCCATATTTCCGGTGCCAACTACACTTTCTTTGTTCCAGAAGATCGGGCCTTTGAGAAACTAGGCTTCGACAAGCTTTCAGATGAGGTCATGGTTAGTATTAAATAGTTATTCAAAATGTTATATATTAATTATAATATTTTGCAGGCTTCTCAACGCGGCGTGAAAATGTTGCTAAATCACTTCGTCAAAGGCCGTCTGTACAACCGTGATCTGCGCGATAATGAGGTTTTCGAGACGATCGGCGGTGGTCATATAAAGATCACTCGTAATCCGGGCAGCAACTACACCAGCGTTAACAATGCCCAGATTACAGAAAGTGAGGTGTTCGTCTATAATTTGGGCACCATGTACTATCTGGACGACATCCTGTACTCCCACATGCTGCGTGACTTTGTGACCAAGTCGACCAAGACGAGATCCAACCGGCACGGTGATTCCGGCGGAGGGACAACGGAGCACCTCAAGGCCCAGCGATGTAGAAATCGTACCCAATGAGTTCGAGGGTGAGCACAATGGCGGGGACTATACCATTCATGGAGATGACGAAGACTTCGAGGATGAGATTATTACGCCCAAGGCGCTGCCCGTCCAAATATACGAGTTGCCCAAGTAGGTGAGCGGGATCTTGATAGCTGGAATTATGTCAAAATATATATCGCGAATGTAAATGCGAAAATATTATAGGTGGCACTATGAAATTGTTCTTTTAGAAATACACCACATTAGATTTTTATTTTCTTGTAACTTTAACAAATTTTTTTTAGTTAAATAATTTCTAAATGTTAAAATCAATCATCAACCCTTTAAATTCTATATTTTCTGACGCTTATTTTATTTTGGCAATTAATTAACGATGTGCGTATTATTTTTTTGCAATTGATATGGGTTAGAGGAAGGAGTGAGAATGGGTGGCGAGGCGCTTGAAGCGTTTTTGTATAGTTCTGGGCTAATTTTTTAAAGCATTTCTCTAGTTTAGTTCTTAGTTATTCGTGTATATTTTAAGTTTAGCATTGAACGAGGCGGTGAAACGAAGTATACTACAAAACAAAAAATGAACATCAAGAGCAGATGAAGGAGGAGCGACAGCGACAGCAACAAATATATAAAACCTTATCCTAAAGAACTTATCAGCGATTTAGACAAAGCTTGTAGACATAGCGAGAAATTGCAGCCAAACAAATTACTACAAATATTCAAAGAGTAAACGAAGAGTAAAATATTAGCAGTGAAATTTCAACAAAATATAAACATATACGTATACTATGCAAATTCAATTAGCGCTCATCAGTGTTTATGCTTTTTTGAGTCTATCCATGTGAGGGAGCATAGCGAAAACATATCGGGGCTAAATCGGCGAATCGGCAAATCGAAGAAGGTAGAGTTCCCTGGAAGGCATTGGTAGTGGACGGGAGCGAGGCAAGATATATCTATAAATACGAGTATATATTACAAACAGATATTGTATTTTTTAATTTAAAGGTATTGATATTTAATGTATCTGTGTATATGAACAACAACAACAAAAAAAGCAATGAGAACGAAGCATCCAATTTTATAATAGTTTGTTAAAATAAAAACAAAAATCTTCCAGAAAAACAACAACCACTTCGTTGAACTATTTTATTATGAATTAGTTAAACTCAATACACATGTAAGTATGATTATATTTATATGTACCGATTTTGGAGTATTGTATATGCGCTTGTATATATATGCATGTAAATAATACCTGTAACTCTAATTGACTTAAACGATTAGCTTTTGAATAGAGAGCTTTTACAATAGCTAACTTAATTATTATTGTTTCGATTTATAGCCACAACTTAAGGTAATTAACAAAGAACGTGCATGTGACAAATGCCAATGTGTAGTGGAAATTAGAGTAGGCAGTGGAAAGTGAAACGGAACTATCATATCAAATGCATTATTGCTTATGGGTATGCCTATAAATGGTTACGGAGAGTGATATGGTATGGCTCTTAGGTTTACTATAACTCGACATGACACACAAAAATTCTTGTTTCAACTACATCTACAGTATGCAACATAATATTCGATTTTGAGCTTTGGCTGGTTATACAGAGTTGCCCGTTTCTATAGTAATATCAAATTCTACAATGTTTTAAATATTTTTCGTTTTCCTTATTTTGATTGTTAAAATGTATTTTGAATTTGCTCGAGTTTTTTTTGGTCGATTAATTTTTACTGTTTTTTTGTTTTCTGAGATCCAATTTCGTAGAGCAGCGTTGTTATTAAAAATTCCATACAGTCAAAGTTCTCTGTGGGACATATTATAGTCTCAAAAGACATATAAATCTTATGAAAAATTACTTTTACATAGCAAATTGTAATTGAATACTCGAGTAAAAACTATCTTCCTTACTATAAATTGTTATCACTTTTGATTCTAAAAAATATACAAAAATCTTACAATCCTTAAAAAATTTCGAAGAACCCTTTTTAGAGACATTTAACTATAAATAATTAATAAAACGCTGCTCTTCCGTAACAAACTTCCATTAAATCGATTTCTAATCATTGTGCTCATTGGCATTGCTGCTGTTGGTAGTGCCTGAAGGGTTGTTTTGACTGCTGGTTGTCTCAGTCTCATTATCACTCAAGTTTACAGGATCTAAAGATTCCGTTTCCAGTTCTGGGGCAGATAACTCAACTACTGCTCCGCCAACAGCTCCCTCGAGTTCTTCGGCAGCCGTTGGTTTGGGCTTGAAACTGTTGTTATCCGCATTCAGTTTGTAGTTTTTATAGGGATCTGGAGATCCTGGAGGCTTCACCTGCTGTGTTTGCTGTTGAGCTTGGGCAGCTTGTCGCTGAAGACGCCTCTGCTGATTGCTGAACGTGGGACTTTCTGATCTCGCCCTTTGCAGCATGGGACGCTGCTGATGGTAGGTGGAATTCGGGTCGTAGTCACGTGATCTTCCAAACTCGAAACCATTTTGCCACTGAACGTGGACATTCTCATACGAAGGATCCTCGTATTGATAGTTTCCAGCAACTCTATTGTGAATCCTTTTCTCAGTTCCGTTCCTCAGGCGACTTAAAGTGCTATGCAGTGGCCGAGCTGCTGCATTTGTATCCCTTCGTAAAGTAGAAGCTGCTCCGGCAGCAGCACACGCTCCTGCACAAGAACTCTGGAAACGCACCATATCCTGAGGAAGGCCACTCAAACGAGGAGTTCCGTACGGATTCGACATCTGGGACGCCACCGATGCGGTGTCGCAACTTACGCAGTCACGAGAAAACATGAAATTGAAATCGATCACCTAATAGAAAGAAAGAATAATATTATAAATAAAATAAACGAAAGAAAATATTAATATTACTTACCTTGCAATCGGGTCCTTGGCCAATCCACAGTGGCAGCCATTTATTAACTAGTAGCCATTGCAGACTAGACTTAGAGATACGATTTAAAGTTCCATTACCATTGGCATCTGCAGAAGAACTGGATCGTGCTGCTGCTGTAGAAGTTTTCTTGGCCAAAGTTACACTTTTCCCTGTTCCTGTGGATGTAGTTTTATCTAAAACTGGCGATGCAACCGTAGAAGACCCTCCCGACTCCTTAGCTGACTTGTTGGCTGTTTTGACCTTTGGAATGGCACCCGTGGTCCGATTGGTAACACCATTCGATGAACTTGGAATATTATCCGCAACAGAATTCTCTTCAATAGCTGCTGCTGGTCCATTGGCTCCAGCGGAAGCAGATCGCGTGGCCCGTTCCATGGACACATTTGGCGATAATGGGGAATTATGGGCAGCCATTGCAGCTGCTGCTGCTCCAGATGTTTTGTAAATATTAGTCATACTCTGCGAATTCTCGCCATGCAGACAGCTGAAGAAACTGGAGGCACTGTTCTTCACAGGAACCTTAACATTGGCATATTCTACGGGTACAGTGGAACCAGCACTTGTCATATAACCCTGACAATTTGGAACGTTACAAGTTCCGCTTCCAGCACCGCTAGTTCCAGCTCCTCCCGATCCACCATTGGCATTCAATCGAATGTGACCCACAGTCCCAAAGTGAGAGTGTCCTAAAACGGCGTAGTGTCCTCCCAAATTATAGTGATCGATGTTGCCGCAGGAGGAGCTAAGATGTCTTTCAATTCTTCCGATTCCATGACCCAAAACATCGAGACGTGTATAGAGCGGTACTCGATTGGCAGCGGATGTGCGGTAAAGTGGCTCATCCCGAATCTGTTCATAGATGTTTTCATATCGCATTGTTCCTGCTCCGGCATAAGGCAGATTGTAGCCATCTGTGGACTCTGTGTCGTCGAAGCTGCGCTGGCGTTGACAGTTGGATCGACTGTTTGTATAAAGTGGAGTGCAGCGCAGTCCGTTCCCACAGCGATTTCCTGGGGTATACAAAATTATAAGTATTGATATATTAATATTGCAGATGTACGAAGTCATTATGCAGTTACATAAGTAATTTAGTTATATTTAAAACTAATCTAAGCTAACTTGCCAAGCAAATATTGGCAAATATTTCTTATATGTTTGTTTTTCATATTTTGATTTTTGCTAACTTATTCACAATATCGCACATTTAACTATTTTGTTTACTTTTGAAATTTGCGGAGATCAAGGTAAACTAAAACCGCAATAGTTAAAACTTTTAACTACTATTTTATATGCCATCAAATTAGACGATTTTTCTTAAAGTTAGATATAAAAAATAAAAGTAATCAACTAATTAAAATATCAAAATATATTCTCACCATTCTGCATATCTATGCGAAAGTTACGTCTGTATCCGAGGCCAGATCTCACGGCTCTCGGAACATCATAAGCGGCGGCAGAGGTACTCGATCCAAGGATTCCTCCCGCGGCAGATCGATCATATAAATCATTCCTATAGTTATTCATAGGCAGTAAGCGTTGAGGTTGTTGTTGTGATGGCTGTGTTGGCTGTTGTTGTTGTTGTTGTGGTAGTGATGGAGTTGGTGCTGTTGGTGGTTGCGGGTTGTTATTAAGATTGGCTTCAGCTGGCAGTGGTGGTTGTTGCTGCTGAATTTCCTCGGCATTTGCAGGGGCATTGGCATTGACATTGGCATTGACATTGACATTAGCGGCGGGTGCAACTTGATTGCTGTTACCGCCGCTGTTGTTGTTGCTTGGCTGGCCAATAGGCGCATAGATGTTTTCGTAGTGCGGATGATTTGGCTGGGGAGCTTGAGGCGGCGCAGCTGGAGCTGCTACTGCTGCAGCCCCACCAACCGCCGCCAGATTTCCATAGATGGCACCACCAATGGCGCCCTCCATCGTGCCCTCCGCCTGGCTATTCTCATCATCCAGCAGTGCGATGGCCAGCGAAGCAGCTTGGCTGGATGTAGATAATAAAAAAACATAAAATTAGGGTTTATTGTGGCAGCGATATATTGTTTATTACTTACCGGGCCAATGCACCCTGCTCTTCCATTCACATGGGCTTATCGATCATACACACGCCCGCATAGCTGCGTCCAATGGTCATCAGTGCAGGCAATATTCTCCAGCTGTCCGAGTCTGGGCAGTAGACCTCTACGGAAGCAAGGTTTGAGGTGCCATCATCACCACCGACAACATACAGCAGGCCATCATGCGCTACTACTCCGGCATTTCGCCGGCAGTATGACATATCAGCTACCGAACGCCATGTGTTCGTTTCACAATCGTAAGCTTCCACGGATCTTCTGACCATGGGACCATCATGTCCACCCACGGCATAGAGAATATTGTTTAGCACTCCCACTCCGGCGCCACTCCTTCGCGAACTCATCTCCGACACAGCTACCCAGGTGTCTGTATCCGGATTGTAGCGCTCCACGGAAGACAAACACTGACGAGTGAAGCCATCGTAGCCGCCAACGGCATAAAGGAGTCCATGAACCACGCCAACGCCCACGGAACTGCGACGTGTTGACATGGAGGCGATAAACCGCCAGATATCAGTCTTGGGATCATACATCTCGGCACTTGAAAGTCCAGTTGTGCCATCAAATCCTCCTACTGCGAAAATGCAACCATTCAGTACTGCAACTCCTAGGGTAGATCGCCTGGCCTCCATGTTGCAGCAATTGGCCCATTGATCTGTAGCAGGATCATAGACATCCACAGTGCGCACGCGAAGGGAGCCATTGAATCCTCCAACAGCATAGACTTTGTCACCCAAAACACTTAAGCCGGATCGGCATCTGCGATTGGGCATTTCAGCAGCTTGGTACCACTTTTCCTCTCGCAGATCATACCACTCTACGGAGCGTATAGCTTTTGGTGCTTGACCACCAATAACAAGCAGAATCTTGGGCATTCCCACCGGCTTCCTGGGCACTGTTCTAGCCGACTTTGTCTCCGTGGGCAGTAGATGATAGGTCAAAGCCTCAATGATGAGATTCTTGCATACGATATTGCCCTCGAGTAGAAGCTCCTTGTCCACGCGTTGGGTTATGTACTCCTTGGACAGGAACGGTAGTCGCACGTGCTCCATGAGCATCGAGGTGAACTGCTCCCGCATCGGGACATCATAGCGCAACCAGGCGATCACACACTCGTAGACGCGCTCCTCATTTGGTACCGAAATCCGGTCGTTGCCTATCAGGCTGATGACCTGCTCGTGCGAGAGGTTCAGAAACTCATCGAACTGGATCACCTCGCTGGAAATAAACCAAAAACAAGCAGTCAGTACGGAGTAGAGTAAGCCGAAATTCAATTAATTAACCGGTTCAATGTGTATAATTACACATTCGCTTTTGATTTCGCGTCTCTTTAGAGTTAAATTATTTTTTATATATATATCTTTGCCTAATAAAAAGATACTGGCTTAATAGGTTACTTCAATAAAAATGAAAAGGAATTTCAAATCATTTCGTAATCAAGGTATCCTTACTATTTCTGATTTCTTTTCTACCAAATCATTCAAACTAGATGCAAGATTCTATAACCAAATTCTTCTTACAATAACACTTAAAACGTGATCTTATAACAGCCCAGAGAATTACGTCAAAAAATAACTTCTCGTAGACACAGATACGTGATTGTCTTATAAATAACGATTTGGCTGAATTTTTTAAATAACTGACTTAAAAAAGCTGAAACGAAATTATTGCAAATTACTATATGTAAATATTTAATAGTATAGAAAATAATACTTTCTGTCTGAACAAAAGTCACTTGAACTTGAACGATTAAAGGCGCTTTAGCAAGTAATCTACATATTAGATAACCGATCTCATTAAATAATTAACCTGCAAGAAGGTGATTTTTTGTACTAGATTCTAGTACTAGAAGTGCAAAGTGAATCAGTAATAAATGAGAAATAACATTTCTAGACAACTAAACAGATTTACTAAATTGGATTTCCCAACAAATACGAGTACACTTGAAAGGAAACGGATAGAAAAGTGGATCACTATCTGTTAGGCAGCAAATCAAAACAATTTTATATTTGTCTGTCTATAGTGCGTCATCGTAATCATGCCACTCACTTAAAATGTTGTTCGATGTAGGTTTCTGCGTAGTTGAGAAGCTCCACGCAGGCATGAAGATCAGCGAATTCCCGGATGCCCAGGCAATTACTTGCGTCCAATTGAGTCTGCAGGAAGTCACAGCAGGCATCTCGGACATCCGTGAGCTGCAGCAGATTGGCGGCAGTTAAAAGAACTTGAACGTTATCCTCATTAACTTCCACAGTGGCAGTGTAAACGTAGTCGATAAGCAGCTCCAAAGCCCTGGCGTCGACACTTTGAAGGGTGATCCTCGCCTGACGCGACTCCTCGAAGCTGGTGAACATCGCATAGAAGTACGGACTGCACGAGGCCAATACCATGCGGTGGGCATGGATCTCCACATCGTCGGCCACTAATATCACATCACAGAGTTGTTTTTGTCTGAAAGTTGTAATGGGGAAATTATATTTTTTTTGTTTTGATGATTATTTAAAAGTTTAAATTTAATGTTTGTTTTCTAAAAATAGTCATGTGCTTTTATAAAGCAATTTCCTTGAAATTAACGACTTGACTTAACAATATTATCATTACAAACATAACAATAATCAACTGGCAGTTTTGATTGCCAAATAAACAGTTTAAAAGCGTGCCAAATATCTTCAAGGGTAAAGCTGTTTGTAAAATGAAGCTTTTCGATTTCTTCATGGAAGAAGAATGTTTTGCTTTGTAAATAAAAATCTGGTTATTATTTTGCTTTGTTAGCAAAGTTTCGCGTGGTAAAATATTGATGACTGCTAAAAGTGTTATAAATCTTTTGCCTTTTGAATTTGGAAGAGATTGTTTGTGGTGATTACACTCGCACTTAAGAATTTTATGACAATCATAAACGATTCTCCTTAAAAGTCTATAAATAACACCTCCTAATATATACAGATCTCGAGTTCTTTGTTTAAATACAATCCCAAAAAATGATCATCAATCCAGTTTACAGCGCATGGTTTACTTTTTGGGTTACACCACCTTCACTTTTGACGCCGTTTTCGATTGAATTGAGGAAAAAACTAGTTTTATGTAAGCTGCCAATAAAGTTTCCACGCCGCCAGTAGTTTTCCAGATAACAAAAAAAAAACCGGAGACGCGGAAGCGGAATCGAAATCTGATTTTGAATACGAAATATATGTATTTTTGGCCCCAACCAAGTTCAAGGTCGGGGCCCAATGCGAAACCCGAAGGCGTATGAAACTCATCATAATAAAAACTAGACAATAATTAATGCGAATGGCCCCACGACAAAATCGTCGGCAAATATAGTGTGCAAACACAAATATTAGCAATGGCCATATAAACAAAGCAAACTGCGCAAATATGCGACTGACGATCGTCCGACATTTTCAGCGATTATATTTTCGCATCTTGGCCCAAATCAGAGAACTCGAGAGGCAGACGGCCCACCTGCCCCTGTCGAATATAGGGATTTAATTATGCCAACCTTTGTTCGGGAACAAAGGGAGGTGGTTCAAAAATAGAATAAATATTTATAGGTAGGGAAGTTCTATTTAGATTACTTTGAGGTAGGTCAAAAAGTCAGAAATGAATTCATCTGTTTAAAAGTGAAGGTTTTTGTTTGGAATAGGAACGATACATCAAAAGTGCTAAAAATGGTTACGTTTCTATTTTAAACCTGTTTTGGATTATGTCGTCTTTAAAACAGTTTAATCATCATTTTATGAAAACCCGATACTGACAAATCCAATAAATAAAGACATCTGTTAAGCAGAATTTTTGGAAATGTGGGCGAGTCTTGAGTTTAAATCAATTTGAAATATAGGAATTATAAGGAACAGTGGCTTGAAACTGAGTGTGTATAGTGACATTATCTTTGTTATATGTTTAACATTCTTATGAAGAAATGCCTCACATGCATAACGATATAGGAAGCCTGATCTTATTCTAAGCCACAAGATATTGTAACTATGTTGAGTTAAGAACTTATGTTCGACCTAGTAATCTTCAGACAGAATGAATTTGTGAAAGGTATTTCTGATAATAAGACCAAACATTATGTGATACCACATAGCCTATGACATTGTCTTCACTTCTCCTTACTTTCTCATCTCGTTCATCGCGTCGAAGGATCGCGCCGTGTGCTGATCATTGCTGTATTGTCCCACTGTGCCGCGATCCTTGCCATTTGGCCGTTGCACATGTTTCTGTGAGCTCTCATCCAAAGAATTCTGGCTGGCATATCGCAGAAGACAGCTGCCGCGGTCTAATCCGCTTCCTTCGGCGGCGGGATTCTGATGTTGTTGCTGCTGCTGTTGCTGTTGCAGCAGGCGTTGTCGCTGTTGCATGGCTGCCACGCCCACAGCGGCACCTAATCCGGGCGGTGGCGCCACAAACTCCGCCCCCGCTCCACCTTCATTCTGTTGTGGTTGCTGTTGAGCGTTCTGCCCCTGCTGTTGTTGCTGCTGGTTGTTGTTATTATTGCCATTGCTTAAGTTGCTCATAATACCGATCGTATATTTGGTTAGAAGCGCACTCAGAGCTATCATCCGAAAACGGATCGGAAACGGAAATCGGAAATGGATCTAATCGAAGGTGTTTCACCTGCTCAAGAAAAACCAAACCGAGGTGGTGAAAAATTGTACACTTTTTGGACGCGACCAGAGCAGTGTGACCAGTTGTCGGTTGGCCTCAAATTACCACTAGAGATGGAAGAGCAATCGCTGCTGTGTTATATCGATAACCTGTTTCGATGGTTTGTTCTCTATGAAATAATATTAATTTAAATTAATTTTCGGACACATCTTTTCATATTTGATTTGATATGTGATCATTTCAATTGTATAATTTTATTACATATGTATTTTAAGATACATTTGGTTAATACCAATTATATTGATTAACTCGAAACGGTCATATTGTAAGCCGTTGCTTGAGATTCAAAATTCAAAATCGAAAGATAGGTGACCAAAGTGAAAATTTTGATTTTTTGATTATTATTGCAGTTCATAGCAAGAATTTTAAGAAGAAAGCTTCAAATTGTATTAAATTATTAGGTATCACTGATGTAATACCATTTTCAAACATTAAGAATTGTCCATTTGAGGCATTGTAACATCTGAAGTTTAAATAACATTATTTTCTCAAACACCCGCAATAATTTAAAATATTATGAAATAAAATAATTAATCATATCAACATAAAAACACAAAATTTTTGCTAATATCTTGATCAACTTTATTTGTTTGGCTTTCTTTTTTAAGTTTTTTGTTTTGTTTTTTCGAATATTGATACTCATGCTCATCAACATTTTGGATATGTAGAATACATTAAATAGGTCTTGGAAACAACTGCTTATTGAATGTTTACGAATAACAGCAACCACCTAGGTAGGAATACATGATTTATAATTCTTTATATTTAATATAGCTATAGCTTATGCGAAATTCGGTATAATATATATTTACAAATGCTCTACACGTGTATAACTGATGGTTTTTGTAAAAACAAAGCACTCGCTTGTAATCGAAATCACTTCGAATAAATAAATATAATATAATATATATAAATTTATAAATTAATTGAAAATTACATTTGGAAATTTGGCTAATGAGAGTTTTTACACTAACTAGACTGTATTTTGTAGATCATATTTACACATAATTTAGATTCCATACATTTAAATAAATACAACGAAATATTACAATAATTACTTGCGAAAATACAGTTTTCGCAATACTTATGGTTGTGGGAGAGGGGGTTCCTTTAAGTAATAATACTTAGTTTATATTACAATTAGCTAGATGCGATTTTGATTCTACAATTCTCCGACTCACTAACAAGAAAGTCACAATTCAAAAAATCTGTACAATTTACTTTCTTATAGATGAGATATTAATGGGCTGGTTTTCTATTCTCAGACGGAGATGGTAGGGGTTTAGTTTTTTGACCTATGACAGTCTTGTAGCAAGCGAGCGATTTTTTTTGTTTGTTTTGGGGCTGTTGTAGTTTATGGTTTCTCTTGATCTTTAAATTTATGGTGGCGGCACACGCTGCACTGGGATTGTCTCAGGTTGAGTTTTGGTTTCTGGTTTACTCCATCAGGAGGAGGAGGAGGAGCGGTGCTCCGGAGTGGAAACAGTCTTCTGGTAGCAATTCAGATTGGCCGACATCCGGCCAAAGGCAGCGGCCATCCGATTGGGCAGCCTACTGAGTTGCTCCTGAAGATTGGACGATCTGTTAGAGCTCGATGGCGCTCCAGGCGCTGTGGTGACCTGCTGCAGCTGGGCCACCACCTCGGCGTGCTGAACATAGGACACCCGTATGTTCACTCCCTCATCATCGTCCTCGTCCTCCTCGCTGCCGCTCTCTACATCCTCGTAGTAGGTGAAGCCCACCTGTTGCTCCTCCCGCTATACATTGCCGTAATACGGAACCGGTGTGTTCTGATCGATGGGCTTGACGCGCAGCTTCTGCTTGTAATGGTACTCCTTGAGGTAGCTCTTCAGTCTGCCAGGTAACTCCAGCTGATTGATGCCATCGTAGCTGGTATTGGAGACAATAGTGGCCCGCGCCAACTGCTGCAGGGAGAAGGTCTGTCTTCGGTGGAGTGGGATGGTAAGGCAGGGCTCGAAGAACATCACGCAGGCGGGGTCCTTGTAGTGCTCCAACAGTCCCGTCACCGTGGGCGCCGTAAACACACACGGATCATGGCAGTCGAAGCTGTAAAAAAAATTGGAAAATGTTAGCGTTTTTGACTTATTATGTTTAGTAGCAAAAAAAATTAAATTCTAGTTTATACAAATTATCAAATATACAAAAATTCAAAACAAACTTTTTTTTACTTAAAAATAATAACTCTAAGTAAAAATGATTAAATGAAATGAACTCATTACAAGGAATTCAATGACAAAAGAACATTAAATCAAATTTCCTAGAAATTCTATTTTGTCTAATTATTTCATTCATGATTCATTTTAATTCTGTGGAGATAAGGACGACTGCTCTCACCTGAACTTGTGACCGCTCTGCTCGATGCGGGCATGCAATGACCTGCCGTATTTGCGGAATGTGACCGAGAAAAGGAACTCCTCCTGAGCGGAGTCGCGGAGCAGGAAAGTACCCTCCGGCTTGCCCTCGAGCAGGTGCTCAGCCTCGTAGCGATCCATCTTGCCCCAGTAGAAACTGCTGTTCGTGATCTTCTCCAGATCGGGAACTAGGCAGTGCATGAAATCGATTTGCGAATGCACGGTCACGTTGCGGGCTCCGATAGCGGCGTTGCCTCTTGACGGTATTCCAGGCAATGCGTTTTCGGCCGATGTCAGGGGTCGTGACTTTGGTGGAGTCTGGGGCGGTTGGGGGGCTGGTTCGGTGACCACGGTGACCCGACCGCCATTGGGCGACTCAACCACAAAGCGCGGCGATGTTATCCTTATAATCACCTGGTGATGGTGATGACTCGCATCTGGAACGGCCACGGAATTCCGTTTCCTTTGGCTCTGTATCCGATGCTGGCTACTCCCACTCGACGAACCCAAAGTGGGCGGTGTAGACCGGCGATCAGCTGTCCGGGATTTCCTTGGCACTGACGCCACCGCACTGGAATCCTTCTTATTGCTCACTGAATTGCTGCTTGGCAGCATGTCTCTTAATCCTCGGATGGCATCGCGGCACTTGCACCTGCAGCATCGCCTCTTTGAAGTCGCGGATGTGGATCCGGAGGATGTGGATGTTGCTGCGCCCATTGACAATGTCTTACTGCTGCGACTGCGGCAGCAACTGTTGCTATTATTGCTTCTGGAAACTGATTTTGAGAAAACAATTTATAAGTAATTTGTTTCACTTAAAATTTGATAAGATTAATTTTGATTCTCTTTAAATTTGCTTGTCGTGCACAGTAAATAAAATTACGGGTTTTTCGCCTTAAATAAATTATTTTGCACTGATAATATGAAAATGGAACTTATAATGATTCATTTTACTTTGTGTTTTTTTATGGGTTTTTCAAAACGTTTTTTGATTCACAGGATTTCCGTTTAAATCTAAACTTTTAAACTTGTTCCGTTATAGATTAGTTTAAATTTTATATTGTTATATTAGTTTTAGCGCTACTCAATTCGAATTTAATTTAACACAATAAAATATTTATATTAAAATTTTATCAGCACAAAAAAGTCTAAGTTCTAGGAACACCGAATGATAATAATAAGAACACTTCACAAATTTATTCCTTGAAAGTTTTCGTTTCAAAAACTAATAATTCTCATTATTAAAGATCGGAAATTTTTCACTGTGCAGTTTTAAATTTAAAGAGAGTTTCTCGTATTCATTTGACTATTTCGCCCACCTTGCTTACTGGTGTGTTGTGTTCCCGCCGACAACATATTGCTGACTGCCAGCGACTCGAGCACTTCGCAATACTCGACGGCTTCGGCCTCGTGGTTTTGCTGGATATTACTCTGACGCCGACGCAGCAGCGACTCATCCAATTCGTAATCGTCGTCGTCGTCGTCTTCGGCGTCTTCTACAGGGTTGTTGGTGTTGCTGCTGGGCCTGATGTTGCTACTGTAATTGGTGTTGCCGCTGTTGCTGTTGCTGTTGCCGTCGTGCAATTGTAACGTACTTATGGCAGCACCGACGCTTCCCTCTAAATTGTTGTTATTCACGGGCTGTCTTTCGGATTTTGGCGCTTCCGTTGAACTGCCAGCAGTTCGATTCGTCACCACGCCCACTTCTCCATTGCCGCCCTCCAGCGTCACATTCACAATCTGCCCATTTGCATTTAGCGTGTCCGCAGACAACGAGGCGTCGCCATCGCCCTCAACTACCAACAGCTCTTCGGCCTCCACCTCCGCCAGGTGATTCTCCACCTGACCAGCTACTACTGCATTGCCGTTCTCCATTTTGGCCAACTGAATTTTAATTATGATCTGACGCACTTCCGCCGACGATGTGGCGGATGTGGCCTCCGTGAGGATCTCTTCTACCTGCAACTCCTCCTCGTCCAGTCCGATTGTTTCTACTAGTTCTGCGGATTCTCTGGGGCTCGAACTAATGGGCAAATCACTCTTGTCCTGGTTATTGGCGCGTACTGTGGGCTTGCTAAGGTGATGACCCATTGGAAGCTCTAAGTGGGGGGCAGAGTTCTTTCTTTGGGGTGGGTTCTTCTTAGATGCTTTCTGGAATGGAGGAAATATTTGAATTTGAAATTAGTAATTTAGCTTTTATTTTTAATTCTGGGAATTCACATAATAATAGTGGGGAAAAGATACTAAAAATCTTTATCTAAGTAGGTAAATATTACTAAAACAGTTTACATTGGTTTATTATTGGGTTATGTATGGGGTAAGGAGAAGTACCCCCTATAAGTTCCAAGTTAATTATTGACTAGCTTAGTTAGCATGTTTCTTTATTAATATTTGCTCTGCGGGCATTTCGCAACATCTAGAAATAGCCGGGAGCCGAGTGGAACGAGTTTTGCCCAGTTTCCCCGGCGGCGTGTGAATTGTCTTGACCTACAGCAAAGAGTCACTTGGTGGGGGCTTCACCAGTGCATTAATTACCCACTTAGACTGCCGGAGAAGTGTTCCAGTGGCAAAGGGACGACGACTCTACTCATTTGCCGGTCAAATGGGCAATTAAATGTTCCACTGTCTAACTATACTGATTAATGGAGTTCCCCCCTTAGAGCTGATCTTCGGGGGAATATCTCCCCCACGTACTGACTCATCTGTGAAGGGGATCTCGGGATCTCTTCATGCAGATGAGGACGATAAACAATGGCATTCCAATCCCACGCATCACTTCTCAGTTCTGCTCATCATAGGAGCAGCAAGTACAAACGCGTACAAATATACACACCAAATTGTAATGTGTTCATCCTATTTTTAGAGACTCGCCCATGGGGAGCTGATGAAATCAATGAGGAAAGCATGTATACGATACGCCAGGCACGTAATTCCCGCATCACCAATCCCCGCGACATTTGACTTACTTCTGGGTCAAGTTGGCTTACTTATCTCCGGAAACTGCAATGAATTAACGGCACCAACAGTAAGCCCTCATTCATGGAAAATCTTTTATTATTCACTGATAATTTTGCTATATGTACATAATAACATAATGTAATTTGGAGGCACGTCATTTCTTCTAACTTGGAAATGGGGTTTCTGCTTAGTAATTGAATTCGCACTGACAAATCCTTATCGCGCCCACATCATCACTGAGGTGCGTCATCTTGTTACCATGTTCGGCAATATAAGAAGGAGCCAAGGTACGGGTTACTATCTGACTGACTCATCCTCTGGTGATCGAAATTCTTGGTAGTTACCCAAAATCGCGAGAAAATGGGTATAAAAGCTATGACTATGAGCAATATCATTGCGGTTTTTTTTAAATCGTATTTCGCACTGCAGGTGTCTCTTACCGTCAATGGCGAAATAATTAGATCACCGATTGGCTAATAAACCCTCTGATTGATCGATAGTAATCAGTCATGGTTGGGCCATAATGATTCCAGTAATTAACTGAAGTGCAACTTCCTGATTCAATCATGACGATATGGTTTTTTTCAGATATTTACAAAAATATGAGTTCCCAAAATATTTAAAATTCTAAGAAAATATAAAAATATTTTGAATTCCTTAAAATATTTTTAAAGCGATAAATAAAACCATAAAACTGATAATTCTTAGAATTGCGGAAATTAATGTTTTTAAACAGATGCTACAATTTTTTTTAATCTTAGATACAAAATTTACATTCTTGGGGGTACACTCATTAGTTTTTTGTGCTTTAGTTTTTAGATTTAAGCTTTAAGTAGCCCTCCAAAAAATGTAATATTAGTAGGCCTTCAGATAAGTTTATATGTAGTTATAATTTTAAATGAAATTCATTACGTTCAAGTGCATCCTCTTATCTGTTCGATTTTTTTAATTTAGTCAGGAAAAAGCACCTTCAAAAACACTTTGTTTTGATCGTAAACTAAGTCTTCGCACTAACGATTATAATCACGCTGTTTATTTGAACTTAATCAAGATTGTTTATCGCAGCGATTAATTAAAAATTACCAAGAACAAGGCCGCAAAAGTGTAATCAACGAGTACATCGGGAAAAGAGAGACTTAAGCGGAAATAATGTTTAACGATTCGCAGTTGGCTTTTGCAGTTGGAAATTTCGCAGAATTCCCTAGAACATATTCGATTTGATTTGGGGTGGGCCTGGGCCATATAGGGAATTCGCTGGAACAATGATTGCGGGACGGTCTTTTATCAGTTATCGGCCAGTTGTTCGACCTCCTCAGCTGCTATCAACCCTGAACGATTTCCATGGAATTCCCTTGTGTTAATCACCTAACAAGCCGTATATGTACTCGTACGGATAGTATATACTTATGAGTGTAATGTATGTACATACATACATATGTATGTTTGGGCCTAATCAAACAGAAATAGAAAACCTTGTCGAACAATCCAAGCAATTAACAGTGCATATGTTTTGACGACTTTTTCCCAAAAATATAAATGGAAGGGAAAATATTAAAAAATGAATTCCCGGAAATGCGACCCACAAACGCCAAACAGCAAACAGTCAAAAATTGCAGCTTTTTAACGAGAATTGAAAAATTATGAATTAAGTGTTTTAGCTGGAAAACGATATGGGGCGGGGGCAGGGTCACTCACTGCCTGCCGTTCAAATTATAGAGTCTACGATGGATACTAAGTCCCCAGACATTCAATTTGTATTCACCGTTGTCTGTCTAACGGTAATTTGCACACTTATAGATACTTTTTTTCGTGTAATTTTCATGCACGATTGTATACGGCACGTGCTGTAGGCAATTTATCGCATTCAAATCGCACAAATCGTACGATTTGATCGGGTGAGTAATCAATACATTCTGGCTAACGTATGACACGATCGTTCGCATTTAACCGCAGATAATTATTATATTCCCCCTAACCGCGAAAGACTCCGGTCACCTTTTCTGTATATATTTACGACTATGATGAAATACAAAAGAGTGACTTGAACTCAAGATTCAACTTCAGATTCCAAGAGACCCGCATGAGACGGCAACCAGCTAACAAAATTTTTCAATGGAAATACAAAACTGAAACGGCAGATAAACCAGGCAGAGGGACTGGATCCGCTTGGCCAAGTACACCGGGAAAATAAAAGAAGGTCAATGGGAACAGCAGCTGGAAATTGACTTCTACTTAAATTCATTTTCAATCTTTGTTCTTTCCTATGACCTTATACATATATGATCTAGCTTAAAAATAGCTTGGGAATTATAGTAATAATAATTCAGATCATAAAAATATAGAAATTTTTGTTTATTTCCGATTATTAAAAAACAAATAAAATATAAACTTCTCAGATGACCTGAAGGATTAAAAATATTTGATTCCTAAAAATTCTTCTGTTTCGCTCAGTGCACCTGGAGGGTATCCGTAGGTAGGACAAGGCGTTACATGAGTCACTCAGACAATGAGTAGCAGCAGGCTGTCTGACGGAACGAAGAAACTCTGGGTAAACTCCATACAACCTCGTGCATTTTTATCGGTCGAGCATTTTCGAGGGCTCGTCGTCGAGCTCAACTTTTTCTTGAGTCTTTACTTTTATTTTTATTTCACTTCAGTTGCCACGCGGAGGCAACGAGCAGCTGAAGTTTTTCTGCGCCGTTGCAGACAATGCGAAATTTCGTCAGAAATCCAAATGCGGATAATGATCTAATACATAACTTGTTCGGGGTAAAAATGTTGATAAATGTTGTCGGGGCGGAGACGGATGGGAATGGGCGAAAGAAAGCCAACAACACGAAGTGGTTTGAATGGCTAATAAGGGACTACCGACTATCTAATGAACGGGGGATTCACCACCTTAAAGAAACTCACTCAAAAATGTGCAGAATTTATTAAAAAATAAAATATAAGAGAAAAATTAACCCAAAACAAGATATTCAAATGTGGAGCAGGAAAATGGAATTTGATTTGCATGTATTACAAATTTTTATGCCAACTGTGTATCTTAAAATAGCCAAACCTAATTTAAATCCAAAAAGGTTTCGTTAAACCGAATAAATGATGAAGATATATTAGCATTGATATTTCAAGATTTCGTGAATATTATTTAGATAATTTTAAACAGAAAGGGGAATCACCATTAAAAAATCTCTAAAAGGTTCACAACTTTAAACCAAAAAAAAAAAACAAATATTTAAATGAATACTGAGAAAGGGTTGGGTAACAGTAATGAGCTCATAGAAGAACTGCCAACTTGAAGCTTGTAGCTAACGTTTTTTTCCTTAGCTCAAATCCAATCTTATTATCTGTAAGTGAATAATTTTTGTATATGGACCGCGCCCCGTCGTCAAGGCCCGTTATTAAAAAACCATTTGGAGACCGGGCACTCGAAATGAGTTTTTGTAACCTTCCCAGCCCAACTTGGCCAACAACAACTTAGTCATGGCTTAGCCGCCTGTCCCACTGTATTATGTTTTACGCAGAAATTGTCACAACAAAGCAAAAGCAAAAGCAACAGCAAAGAGCAGCTTGAATTGCGGTCATCGGGGCGAATGGGGGGCATAATGTGGGCTAGTGCAAAAAATAAAGTAAGCCACACAAAGAAGAGCTCAAGTTAGAAATTAAACGGACTTTGAGATACTCTATAAAATAATTATTATTTAAAATTTATTGTTAATGATTAAAACTTATGGTAATTCTTTCTATTATTGAAAGTGTTATCTCTTTTAAATAAAACTAAATACTTTTTTAAAAAATAAATATAAAAACGCAACTTTTATATTTTCAAGAAGCCAAACAACTGCTAGTCTTGCTAACAATATAGTCACGAAGTTGTCATAAACTTCCTCTAAATAAGATATAGCAAAATGTGTAAAATTCGATCAACCCTGTTGCCAAGTCAGGGAAACTCTCTCGATGAGAAGAAACCTCAACAACAATGAAAAAGCCAGCCACTAAGAGGGGAAAGAGGGGCAGAGGCATAGGATTTTAAAGCGAATTCAATTACTTTTTGTTGCCGCCGACATCGTTTCGTTCTCTTTTTCTTTTTGTGTATTTTTCCTTTTTGTTTCCATTTTGTTTTGCATTTACTGGGAATTCGCAAATGAAGTTCGCTTGAAAATAAAATCACATGCAAAGCGGAGCAGTAAAGTGCCAAATGGCGAGGACGGGACGGAGATTGGGGGGTGGATCCTGAGAAAGTGTATTTCGGTTTGATATATTTTTCACAGGAAAATTGAAATGAGATTTATTACGCTTTGGGCACTTGGGGGATTCGTAATTTGCCCATTCATTGCGCCACGGGTGGAAATGTGATAAATAAACAAATGGTTTTCATGATGGCCAATAGCCATTCGGTATTCAAACTTATATGGAACTTTAATTAGCATTTCCTAGCAAATTCGGATGGGGCACGGGCTAAACAAAGTTCGTGACTGATTATGTTCGACGGGGTCTTAAGAATATGCTATGTACATACAATATCTCCATTGACGTAGGAATAATTCTCCGCTCGAATTTGTTATCTGGCCTTGCTCTCTTCTTTTTCACATTTTGTTATCACAAGGTAGCTGGGGGAAAGAGAGACAGGGCAGAGTGTTCATTATCTAGGCCCGAAAACGATAATAACGAAAATAATAATATTAACATTAAATGTGAAAAGAGGCGATTTCTTGGAAATTCGCACACAACGGGCTCTCCATGATAAATCCATCGCACATACACACACAGATACGGGTGGGAAAAATTCCTGGAAAATATGCACACGGTACTCACATGCCGGTGAAGTCATGGAGTTGCCTTTGTGCTTGTGTGCGGTTTTCTGATTAAACGAAAGCACTAACCAAAATTCAACTTAATTCGCTCCAGGTCCGGGTTAGGCCCAAAATGTTATTTGTTTTCCTTTTCGTTTTTCGTTCTGGCTAAAATAAAAAAGATGGTTTCCCTAGATACTTCTATAGGCGGCCCGTCGGGTTCCCTTTGTCTGGGCTTTGAGCTGAAATTATGACCATGAGCTCCTCCACACGCAGAACTTTTGTTATGGAACACAGACTAACGGAACACAAACTACACACATATTTGAGGAGTGTGTGCGGGATTTGTTTTGGTAGCTTTGTGATATCACAATCGTATTATCTTGAATGATAGTTCACAGATACAAACGCTGAAACCATGAATAACTTTAAGGTTTTTGAACCGCTCACAAAGTTTATTCAGAAGCAGAGTTGTTTATCTGGAACAGGTCAGAATAAATATTACGGTTTATCTTGCAGATTTCTTCGTATTAGAGATAGTATTATCACTGTACTTTCATACTAAACAGATGCTAGATTTTTCTACGTATTAACTCAAGTGATAAAGATTTCTGGGTAGAAGTAGCTGATGTCCATATGTGATAAAGATATTTCTATCCATGCGATACATTTTATTAAATACAAAGAATACTCTTTCTACACTTTACGAACCCATTATTGAGGTAGGTTTATGTCACAAAAAAACCTGACTGCATTTCTTTCACCATCCCTTAACAATCAATTTAAATTAAAATGTTCAGTTTTTTTGTTACCTGTTCTTAGCTTCAGGCTAAATTGTTAACTGGAAGCCATTGAACGAGAGAACTGACATTTTATATACCGATACGGAGGCTAACAATAGCTCGTAAAACGTGATTGATTAAATAGTTTTAAATTTAGCGATTACGGAATCTGATTACCCAAGAACTGAAACGGCCTTTGCGAATTCATACATACATACGTAGTTGGGCAAATACAATCATCAAGAGTTTACACAAGCGTCTATAAAACTTCATTGATAAATTACTACGAACCACAAAATCAACATTGCCCATACGCAATTCACTACCACCCACTCACAAACACACGCCCGCTTATCATCAAGAGAAACGTTTGCAAAGTTAAAATGAAACAAAATTCTAAGAACAATCAAAAGCATTTCGTTAGTTTTTCCACGGAAAAGCAAATATGTAGGTAAACATGAGAAAAATGGGGTAAAGTGGGCGTTGGGCGGTTAAGGGGATGACTGTCGTCCGACATGCGCTAAGATAACGATAAAGACGAGGGCAAATATAACAGCGGGGGTAAGGTCAAGTCAAGAGAGTTATTATTATTGGCCAAAACAAACAGACAAACTGCTATGGTAGTCTCACAGCGCTCAGGGATTTCAGATTTCAAAACAGAAATTTACATAAGCCATACTTGAACTGTTTTTTCAGTTTAAGTTGCTTCTCCTATCAACAATATATGGTTCGATTTGAAAAAATAAAAGTATAAAGAAGATATTATAAACGTGTTACAAAACATTATTCGTTTTTATTTCATGTCTTATAATATCTATGATCTTATGATTTTAGTTTATAAATAACTGCAGTCTTGATTATTCTGTTTACCTTAGGTTAATTACAGACAATAATTTATCAGTTTAAAGTGGAAATACCTTAAGGTTTTTTCTGAATACCGATGCCAAATAGCAACGTATTTTTAGTATACTCCATTTAATTGATTTTCATTGGAAATACAGTTAAGTCAGAAATAAATATTAAATCTAAATAACTTGACTTGTGTTTAGTATAACCAATATATAATATGGAAGAATCATTTCTGGGGAATCCGATGTGCTTAAGTGTAACTTATGGCGGCACTTTTATGGCTTTATAACAGTAAATAGAAACATGTGTGTTTTCCGTCCGTTAATTGCAGTTCTCTATAAAAACATCTCTATATAAAGAGAACAACCCCCTTTCCCTTTGTAAACCCACTCAAGATCCACTCACACACACACACATACACACTAACAATTGAGTGTTTTGCCCACATTTCACTTTTGGCATTGCGTTTCAATTGAACAAATTCACGCGAACAATTAACAACAAACGAACAAAATCAAATTTCCAACGAAAAATCTCATCGAAAAATGGAAAAACAAACAAAGGCATAAAAGAAATAGAGAGGGGGTGGTTGTATGAGCAGGAGGGCAATAGTCTACCTACGATTAGGTGTGCAGTAGAGAGAGAGACGTGATATTGTTGCTGGGCAGACAATTTGGCATTTTTTCGCAAGATCGCTTTCGCTCTCTTTTACTCTGGGTAGCAGCTACCTCGCTCCGACACTCACACCGCACTTATCCTGTGTTCGAGAAACCGTTTCACGTGAAAAGCTATTAAAAAAATTGAAAACCCTCTCAAGTTTAATACGAAAATTCAAGGAAATGAGCGGAAGAAGATGGTAAAAGCGGTTTTTTTTTGTTGTTACCAAGAATAATCAAAAAGTGCACACACACACACACACGAAGGGAAAGAGGAACGAACGCAGACAACAACAATTTGACGCATTACAAACGAAGTTAATAACACCTTTTCTTATGAAGGGTACAAGAACAACAGCAGTGCCGATGTTCCCATATTCCCCTACCATTCTTCCTCTTGTTCCTCCTCCGCCTCAACCTTCTCCCGTCCCCTGCTTAACCGTGGTTGTTGTTGTACGGCTTCGGCCGAATTCAGCGGCTACACCTTTACATTCATACACCTTTAGCAAGAAGCCATGGCCAACAACAGAGGCCCAACAACAACAACGACTATGCTATAGGCTATAACAGCAGCAACCGGGTCTCGATATTGGTATTGGTGTGGATGGGAGAGCAGTGCATGTACAGTGATGTCTCTGTGAGAAAGGATGGAAACTATGTTTTATCTTTAGAACTTTTCATTTTCCAAATATCAAAAAAAAGAAAGGTATTATTATTAACCTCGGACAAAATCTTAAAAATTTTATGTTTGACTATTAGTCACATATATTTTCCCTCAATTATGTAGACCCTCAGTTCTGAATATATTGTTAACCAGTAATACTAAATCCTTTATTCTAGTTAAATTGTAAAAATTAAATATTTTAAAACAAATTAAAAACAGAAAAGCCTACACAACATGGGTTAATCAATACAAGTTTTGACAGCTCATGTTATCAGTGATATTTGATCTACTAATGATTGTCGTGGGAAAACTAGGAGTGGAATGTGAGTCAGTTGTTTATATTTAAGCGCGTGACTCCGGCGAGGCTCCACTGTATCCGCATCTGCTCGTGCGCTCGCATCTGCATCTGTATTTGTGTCGTGTCTCACTGTGTGTGCTTCAGTTTTTGAGTCTGTGTGAGGGCCAGCTTCATTTCAGCTTGGCTTGCGGTGTTAAATGTTTGCAGCAGCATTTTTCATTCAATAGCTCGAACAAAAACAACAACGGCAGCTGCCAACATCATCGCATACAAGCACACACAGGCGCACGGACCACTATGTGTATCTGTGTGTATGTCGGTTTGTGTATCTGTGAGAGTGGCAGTACGAGTACGGGTACGAGTATCTTTGTATCTGCTGGTTCGCTTGGGCTGTCTGTCACTTCTCAGAAATCGGTCTAAATTAGAAAATGCGTTTCTGGGAATTTCGTATCGCTCTTTTGGGCCCACAGAGCTCAGCGAACATATAAATATATATCCAACTTGTATAAACGACGATTCCCCTTATTCCCAGTTCTCGGAATATTATATATACGTACACCTTTCCCCCAATGAATTTATCAATGGCATTTGCAAATATTATATATCGAACGGCAACTATTTTCCTTTGTAATTTATGCAAACAGCGAGCGTTTCAGGGAATTCCAATTACCACAAGCTGGTAAATATTTTAGCAATTTTGTTATTTACCTCTCGTGTGATTCGTTGGCTATATGATTTTTTTTTCTTTTTGGGTGTGCTGGTTACTTTTGGCTAGTTGGCAATTTGGTTAAACCGTAGCTTAAGCATATTTTAGTTTTGCTTTCACAGGTTTTTTTTTTTTTTTTTTTACTTTTCTACGTTATCTCCCTTATTAATTGTGGTTGAGGTGACACTAACACACATACACTCGCACACACTGATTGCACTTTTCGATCTGCGATGGCACACAAACGATTTTCCGCTCGATAGTGTGCAGTTCCGTCAATTTGTGCAATTTCTCTCGACGAAACGAAACCACGCACGAATACGAAGAAGTATCTCTTCCCCGAAAAGTATCTGTATTTTTCGCCCTGCGTCCGCTTCGTTCCGTTTCTTCAGTGTGACTGCCGATGGAACTGGAATTGATACTGCGACCTAATAAAAATGCACTAAAAAAGGCAAGCTGGCGGGTGTAAAACTTGAATAGGGTTGTTGATGTTATTCGGCAGGTTGTGAACTTGGATAATATTCGTCGGTTAGTACACTTTTAGCAGGGACTGAAGCCCAAATCTTACTATAGAATATAGTGTTATATGTAAGTGCTATTATAATAACTCATAGAACTAAGATCAGTTAGTAACTTTTAAAATATATTTTTAATATGAATGTTTAAGTAAATCCTTTAGAAACAAAAATAATTTAAAAACTTGTAATTAATTTTAATTGCTTAAAATTTGTTCTTCTTATATTACGTCTAATATTAGAATCACAAAAAAAGTATTCAAAAAAGTGCAAATTTTAGTTTAATTTTATTCAAATTTATTCAACTCTGTGTTAATAAAATTAGTACTTGAATAACAGGAAATCGTAAATATTTTTTTCAGTATTTATTTGCTTATCTATCGTTTTTTCATTATCACATTCAGGTCTTACAGCACCTGCTGTAGATCATAAAATTAAAAAGACGAATATTTTTATACTCTTGTAAAAAATAAAAAATTCGAAGTCCTTAAAAATATTGATTTAAAATGGATAGTAAATCATATTGTATATATAAATATATATTGTAATGTTACAAACGATATCACAAAGTTAAAGTATGCTTATATGTGAGTGTATAACAATCTGTTTGGCTTATCAAAAACAATTTGAAAACAAGAGAGAGAATTCACAACGAAAGTGTTTAGTGTAGTGTTTCTCCCCGGCATGGCAACAATGGAACAGCTGACGAAAATCACAGATAAAGACGATCTGAAGGATCTCCAAAAGCTGTATCTGAAGGATTGGCCCACTAACTGTGTCGGCTACTTTTGGCTGGATAATTATTTGAGATGGTTACACCAAAATCCTACTTTAAAACATCTTAACTTCTATACCATAAATAATGATTGGAAAAGCGACGGATTGTTTATATTGGTGGTATATAAAAATGATTAACAGATGTAAATGAATTTGTATCTCTAAAAAATACATTTTTTAGCATCGCTATCAGTTATTTTTTAGTAACTTAAGTAAGCAGAAACCCGAACTGAAAGTAGCGCTGAATTTGTTGGATTGGTCGGGCGGCTTCAAGGTCAGCGCCATCCATGAGACCCATCATAAAATCTATAAGGAACTTGTTGCGGATCTTGATCTTCAGATTGATCGTGAAATGAATACCATTATGTATAGTTTGACCTACCAGGAGGCTGGGAATTTTCAAATCAATTGCCCCGAGGGCTACTATCTGGATAAAGTGCGTTTGGAACATGCAGATCTCATAAACGATCTGTGGTCAGCTCGTCATCCCGGTTCCCTAAAACTCATTCAAATGCTTATATCTTACAATACAAATGTGGGATTGTACGATAAGGAATCGAATTCATTATGTGCCTGGTGCTTGAGGTAGGTCATATTCTGTAAAATGATTGATTAATCTGAAAACCCATTTTCTTTTAAAGACTCCAAAGCGGTTTTCTCGGAGCTTTAGAAGTACTCGAAACCCATCAACGACGTGGTCTTGGTTTAGTAGTTGCTGCCGCCATTTCCAAAGCTATTGCCATCGATCTTCAGCAGGATATTACCGCCCTGGTCAACATGAATAATACCGCTGCTTGCCGTGTATTCGAAAAACTAAATTTTAAATTGCAACACGGCGAGCACTACCACTGGAGCATGATTAAGCCGAAAAGAGGTGGTCAGATATCTTGGCCAAACAATGAATAAAGTTAGACAGAAACTAGAGATATGGAAATGTGTTTAATTTTTGTTGGCTTTTTGAAAAGTGAAAGGTCAGAAACTCTTCTAATGGAATCCCTACTACAACAGGACTTGTTTAGGGGTGATAAATTTCCCTCTTTACCTAAAAGATACGAGTTACAAAGTTGTATAAAATCAATTTAAAATGAATTATCTTAAAATCAATTCTGCGATATAATATTTAAAATCTTATTTATACATTTTTAGTCAACCAACTGAATTTTCTCTAAGATCTTTACGAGTTGACGATGCTGAAATGATAGATGGTTGTAGGGATTGGAATGAACCAGGTTCCTTACCTTTCATTCAATGTCAAATTTTGTGGGCTTGTACAAGGACGAAGGCAATGAACTCCAAACTTGGTGTATACGATTATATGGTTATTTTAAAATAAAACCGATGAATATCTACTTAAAAGCCTAATTTGAAAAGATCGCAAGATGGCTTACTTGCTGTTCTGCAAATTAAGGACTTTTACAAACGCAGAGGATTGGCCGCTGTGATTGTGAAGGAAATCTTAAGACGAGAGGCTATCCTGTGACGCGATATCATCACAGAAATTGTTCCAGAAAACAAGACATCGTTGACCCTTTTCCAGGAAGTGGGCTTCAGGATTAACAATCAGTGTTCCTGACTGACGACAGAAAGCCCTAAATGGATTAGATAAAGGGAGTGCTAATCAGAAATCTTTTGTTTTTCTGCATATAAATGGCTAAGATTAAACTCTTAAGAGAAACCATACAAGACAATGTAACAAAATTAAGAGAACAGAAAAAGAAGCTCATTATTTTACTGATTTAATCACCTTTAAGCCAATAGTTTTATCCATTTTTGATCGGTTATTTGATCGGAAAGGTTGTCTCGCATGATTAGAATATGTGTTTTATAGAATCATAATGTTGAAGTTTTATAACTTTCTTTTAAAATCCAATGAAAGGGTCTGTTTAATTTCACTTAAACTTGATAAAAAAAATCAATGCCATAAAGTTCAAATCATAGTAAAGTGCATAAACATATGAAAAATAAAAAATTGAACGAAAAAAGGGCAAAATAAAAAAAAAACTGTTTTATCGTATATTTGATCTTTTGCTGACAAAGCACAGATCTGTCCTAAAAAAGGTCTAATTTCAAACACTGATCAGTTTTGTAAGTAGTACTTACTAAGTACCCATATACTAATCGCCGAAGTAAGCAGTTACCCATGATCAATCGACTCATGCTGGTCCAATAATTTGGCCTGGCAACGAATCAAGTCAGCTAAGCTAATGGATCAACATGAACAGAGATGATCGGATTAATTTAGTCAGACAGCAAATAGTGATACGGAAATGTGCACAAGGGCTAAACTAACAAACATCCATAAAGTGCAAGACAGATAAATAAAGCGTATAAATGCAATCACAACCGGTTTCTAGGTATCAGTTTGTAAGATGGATGATCTAAAGCAAGTCGGTATCAAAAAACTAGAGGATCTCAAGGGTGTTTACATCCGGGATTGGCCAAAATACTGTAAAGAGTACTATTGCCTGGATACTTTTCTGGAACTTCATAAAAAGAATCCCCAACTGGAGGGTGTAAGCGTTTACACCCTTCCCAATCTGGAACTCGGTTTATTTGTAATCGTGGTATGAAATGTGTTATATTAATCTTAAATTTGTGTAATAGTGATTTTCTATGTGAATCGTTAAGGATCATTGGCAAATTTTTGTGGGCTCCTTGGAAGCGGAAAGATCCCAGAGCCTTCTGAAAGAATCCCTACTCAAATTGGACTTCTTAGGTGGCGAACAATTCTCCTCCATGCCAAAAAGATACTTCAAAGTTGCTACAGATATTATTCAGGCCAAAAAACTAAAAATGTATCTCAATAGTGTCACCTACTCTATGATTTTGAACAAAGAAGAGGCTCTACATTTTCAAGTGGAGTAAGTGTGTACCAAAATGTATAAACATTTATATTTTTCAACTTTTTATACGTTTTTGCAGACCACCAGCTGGCTTTTCCTTAAGATCAGTAAGTGTGGCCGATGCTCAAGTGATTGACGATCATTGGGAGTGGAGTGAACAAGGAAGCCTTTCCTTTATTGCACGCCAAATTGTTTTTAGCACTAGCGTGGGCTTGTATAAGGACGAAGACAATGAACTCGTGGCCTGGTGTATTAGGTAAACATTTAAAAAATAATTTTTATAAACACATTCTTATCACCCTTTTTGAATAGGGCACAGGATGGTTTATTGGCCGTCCTGCAAGTGAAACCAACCTACAAACGCAGGGGATTTGGTGTTATGATTGTTAAAGAGTTCTCCAGGCGAGAAGCTCTCCTGGGTCGCGATATAATCACCGAAGTAATTCCAGAAAACAATGCATCCTTAGGGCTGTTTAAAAAATTGGGCTTCAAGATCAACGATCAGTGTCATTGGCTTATAACAGAAGCGTCAGTTTTGGATAGATAAGATTAAAGATCTTGTTTGTAGATGAACAAGATATATATATGTGCAATATATCCATTTGGTTTGTTTTTGATGTGCAAAAAGTGTTTGGGTTAGTCTTAAGAGAATATATAAGAGAGATTCTAATGACGTCGAGAGAGTTCTTAAAAGAGAAATGTAGAAGCTGCTTGACAAGCTGAATGATTTAATCACAGCAAACGCAATATGCAATTTACTCTTGCTGAGTTATTTGATCGTGAAGGTTGTTACGCTTGACTAAAATGTCCGCTCTATTGGAGGTTATTGGTTTACCGGATCTCAAGAATTTCCAAGGGCTTTACAAACAGAACTGGCCCAAGTTTTGCCAAGAATATTACTGCCTGGATAATTTCATAGAATTTCTGAAGAAACAACCAGAAATTAAGCACTTGCAAGCATATACTTTGAATATAAAACAGGCCAGAGATGACGCTCTTTTTGTTATAGTCGTGAGTTATACACATATATTATTGATTTTTCTATGTAATCCACAAACTAAGTGAACGAGTCATATTTTAGGATCGCTATCAACTATTTGTGGGCAGTTTAAACAACACGAATGGTCTGGTTCGAAAAGCTTTGGATTTACTAGACTGGTCGACGGGTTTAAAGTGTAGCTCTGTGCCTTTCAGACATATTGATGCCTTGGATAGTATTGTCGAGTCCAAAAAGTTAGACATAGTGTTTAGAGACCCCACTGACTTATTTTATATGAAGGCAGCGGATGCTCTCAAGCTGAGGGTTGAGTAAGGATTATCACTTTTGTTTTCTCTAAGGAACTCTTCTATAAGTCTTTCTTTATTTAGACCACCAGCAGGATTTACCTTAAGATCTTTGAGCGTGGCAGACGCTCCTCTGGTCAACGAAGAGTGGCCCAATCATCATTTGGGATCTCTGTTCTTTATAGAGAGACAGATTCGGATGTGCGTCAGTGTTGGATTGTATCAGAAAGATTCCCAAGAGCTGGTGGCCTGGTGCATCAGGCGAGTCATATATAATTCTATAATCCTATTATCTAATGAAAAATATTTCAGATTACAAGGCGGATACTTGGGAGCTCTACAAGTGAAAGACTCCCACAAACGTAGGGGATTTGGCAGTGTGGTGACTAGAGAAATCTCTTACCGCCTTGCGGAACAAGGTCACGATGTGATGGCTTTGGTAGGACACTTGAATAAACCTTCATCCGGGATGTTTAGCAAGCTGGGCTTCAAAGTCATTGACCAATGTCTTTGGCTGAGAACGAAACCCACCAAAGGAGAATTCACCTGGCCCGGCGGCGAGTAGTTGGTTTTTAAATGTCTGTATTAAAATATTACGACTATCGGTTGTATATGAATACAAGTTTGGTATAAAAATATGCCAAGGCCTTTTCCATGTGCTATTACTAAAGTTTCAATCGGGCGAGCAATTGATGGCAGCGGTCTTCTAATTGAAGGGGACTACGTTGAATAGTTGGATCCTCTGTCAATGTCTTCGTAATATGCCTTAAACACTCGAGATCGTATTGCACATGATAATGATTCATTCTGTAGCTATCAAATAGTAAAAATTTGGTGGTTTCCTCAGCCAATCGGCGAGTGGCTATATACTCCAGAAGTTCTATAAAATCGAGGTAGTTGATGCCAAAGCTGGCCCTCAGCATTGTCTGGCAGTGGGCCTCAAAATTATCCATCTGCTGGCAGTCGGAGATCTCTTCGCACACGGCTTTCAAGTTGTTCCTGAGGTTTTGCCAAACCATGGATATATTGCAGGCATTGAACCAGTTGTGATTAATCGATATGGTGTCCGTTAGATTCCACACCTGGTGGAACCAACCACTGGGCACAAAAACTGCTTCATTAGCCCGCTGGTTGATGGTGTAATATCGGACATTGTGTTCATCTAACAATTTTTCGTCTATGCTGAATGGTGGATTTCCCAAGCGATCGTTCAGTTTGAGCTCTTCTCCTGGGGGCATTATTAACCATTTTTTAAGACCCACAATATTAGTGGACCAACTGAAGGAGCCAAACACATCCGCATGATAGGAGGTCCTGAAAATAGGATATAGTTTGAGAAAAAATGTATCATTAAGTTGACCATTTACCATGAGTTCTTGGGTCCCATATACACGAATCGGTAATCGTCCCTCTTTTGATCAATAAGTTGTTCGTTGAGCCAATCAGAGGCAAAATACTTAGGCACCTTGTAGAAGTTATAGTCTGGCATTTGGGCAGCCAGATGCCAGTCTTTGAGGTAGAGATTGTCCCTGCTTCTGGGACTTACATTACTATTGACTTCCAACGATGATGGTAATTGATTTTCAAGTCCGTTTTTCCATTTATCCAGGTAATCGTAAAAGTTCAGCTCCAGTTTAGTATGGCTATTAAAGTACGATGAGTTACAATCGGCGACTGGAACCGGGCAATTGGTGATCTTGCTTTTGAGGTAGTCAAAGTTAATGGAAGATGCACTCGGATTGAAGTTGAGATCCCGAGATTCCTGGAGTACAGTCCAGTTCTGGCATTCCCAGTCGTTGGATACGTCGGTTATGATAACCGGAAAATTCTTGTGCATATAACGCCAGAAAAAATCGTTATAATCTAGACCAGAACATCGCTGGATTTCCTTGGGCAGTTGTCCATCATTTTCCCTGATTTCCTCGGGATGCAACTGGAGAACATAATCCCCATCCCGCTCCTCTGAAGCCATTCGATTTGGCAGTGGGTACCTAAAGTCCTTAAATCGGCAATCATGCACTGGCTGTTGTGTTTTTTATTCTTTGTGGTAAAGTTCCTAAACGAAATTTTGTTATTTGTGAATTTTATGAAATTGTGTGACCATGACTGTAAAAGGTCATATGGTTTTGGTATTATATCAGTATGTTTGTTGGCGATAGTTTTAGTATATCTTAGCGTTATTCGGTATAAAAAATTTTATTCTGTACAAATTATTATACATACCGAAAAGTCGTGGGCTATATATACTCTAACGCGTTTTTGGCGTAATAGCCCGCGGAAATTCAAAATTTGTATAATTTTTTCTCATCAAAGTTATGCCAAGTTAAAATGAATATCTCCATAATTAAAAATAAAACAACTGGTATTTCTTTAATTGTTTTTATTTTTACTTCATTTTGTTTGCCTTTTTAGTTTTATTTGCTAAACATTTTACCATTTTCAAGTTTTTAACTACAATTTGGTTTTACATATGAGTTTCTGAGATTGTGTGTTGGTTTCAGTTTAAATTTCAAACTAAAAAAAGAGAAGTCAATCAAATGAAAAGACATTGGGAGAATCGAGTTTCAGTGTATATATGCATGTCTTTCTATGTTAGTTCGTTTTAATTTCTATAACTAGGCATATTCGTATATGTATAAACTTTACAGATATTTATTTTCGGCCTTCCAGGCCAGTCTAAGAACTAAGTGATTACCAACAACTCTCTGCTCATCAGACCCAGTACAATAATACGCTTGAATTGTTTGCTAGAAAACTATATAATGATCATACAAATCAGAGCATAGGTAAAAATGCTATATATACATACAAAATCGTACAAAACGTAACAATAGATTTTCATATATATATATTATATATGTAGAGAATTGTTTATATATATTATTCGGTTTTGGGTTAGAAAAATGTACAATTATTGATTTTGTCTTGGGTTTTTCGGTTTTTGGTTTTCGACTTTCGGCTAGCAATAATTGGTTTAGTATGTATAATTTGTTTACTTAGTCTAGACGCATTTTACTAGATTTTCTTGTGTTTTCTTTTTGTTTAGAAGGTACAGAGAGACTGACTGGCAGAGCGGCAAGATCTATTTGGGAGTGTAGGGGAAAATGTATGCTGGAAAATTGTGACTTCTATATGTTCATCGAGTATATAGTATTATAAATTATTTCTAATACTTATTCCGTTTGGAATTTATTTACAATTTATTGTGTAGCAGGCAGTGCCACGCCCACATACTGGCTTACGTACTAATTTAGTATTTATTACGCTATTCATTCTTTCAGTTCTTACTCGCTCGAACTGCTTAAAATTTAATTAAACATATAATTAATGTCCCGCCCTTAGCTGGAACTAAAGTATTTACATTTACTTCATATTTTCTCCTAAGATTTATTTAAATATTTTACTCATTTGGTTTTTTAAGTGTATGCTTTCCCACTCACAAGTATTTTGCATTGGATTTGAATGCAATAAATTAAATAAGTTTCATATATAATTAAATATCTTAGTTTATTACATACTTGATATGTAGTTTTCGTGTAAATTAGTGGAAAAATTAAAAACTTCAGCGGCAAGGAAATGAGGTTGGTCCAGTTGAAGATGAGATAAAATAGTCTTGGTTTTGATATTGATTCTGGATTGAAAGGAAATTAGTTTTACAGAAAATTTGTGTGGGTTTCTTGTGCAATTTATAATTATTTTGTTTATTCTTGGCAGTCTGTAGATTGTCACCAAAATGAAAAGAAATTCGATTGGATTATCAGGGAAAGGGGAAATTATTTCTTCAGCCAAATAAGTAGGCATATCTATTTATCTTAAAGTTAAATATTTAAAGCTTATACAAATCGTACATATGTAAGCCGTATTTTAGCCAAACTTATATATTATATATTTATAAATTTGCTACATAAGTTTATTCACTATACATATGAAGCAGGAGCTCAATCGATTTGGCTTATGATTTTGGGGACTTCCCCGGCATCTCTGGTACAACCTCAGTGTGTTTGGTTCCAGTGCTCAATTAGCTGGATGTACAATTGTAGGGGTCATCCGTGCGGAAATTGGGATGATCCTCGAAGGGCTTAACGCCCGCCGCCTTTTTGTCATCCCTTAGTTTTTCCACCTGCTGCATAACTCGAAGGAAATTACCGCCGGCTAATTTGGTCAGCTCATCAATTGTCCAACCGCCACCAAGAAGTTCAGCAAATAGAGTCGGATATGAAGATACATCCTCCAGTCCTTTGGGGGTACTAAAAAGCACAATTCAACATTGAAAAATATTAGTTTATTTTCTCGGATTATAAATAATGGTCATAATGTGTTCAGCTCCTCCCCATCTCTCTCTTCCCTTCTCCGTTCAGAGTACATATATTTCAAAAAATCTCTCCGCACAATTAAATTTAATTTTCGTGCAGCACATACAGAAACCAAATTGAATAAGCAAATCAAAGGCAGGGCAGGGCCAAAGGCAAAACAACTCGTGTGCAGGACATTCTGGGCGTAATAAAGTCGCATTGAGTCAAGCAGCAGAGAAAAACAAATAAATAATGAATAGCACACAAAGGAAAATAAATAATAAATAAACATTTTGCTGGCCGAACGCTCAAGTGCTCGGTAATCATATTTTATGAACAGGCATTCGAACAAATAAATAATAATTTAGTTTTATGTGCAGGCGTTTAGGCCAAACACGATTTAAATGACACAAACAGCAGAAATATGGGATAGTATTAGAGTTAAGATAAAATATATAGGGTGATGTCCTAGAAAAATGTCAGTCGATTGGAGTTTTAATAACAAGCTCAACGAGGTGTGACATTCCATATTCCGATCATTATAGAAACAATATATTTTAAATATTTTTATTTTGTTTTTAAGTATTCAATTATTCGACTAATACAAAGAGCAAGGACTGCGACACCCTGTAAAGATAATAGAAAACAAGTATTCCCAAAAAATAAACCATAACAACTGCGGCGAGCAAAACAATTTATGTCCTTTTAACTTGAATTGGCTTTTGCCATTTTCAATTTCTCGATTCGAGTGCGCCGGCAAGGTTGTTTTTGCCGAATTAATTGCACTCATTTGTGGCTTTCGATGACCAAAACTTAAATTCAATTTCCAATATTACGACAAAAATCATCATTCGAAGTAATGACAATTTAATTAAATAAACAAACCTCAATAAAATTGGGCAGGTGTCCTGAGGGGGGAGAAGCCCAACGAAGCCTATAGAATGGAAATTCGATTTATTAGGTATGTTCCTCTGCACATTTACCATGCGGTTTGACGCGAACCGGAACGAGACCATTTGACATTTAGTAATTTTATAGAATTTTAGATTATTTATTGTGTCATGCTCATGTTTGTTTCGTATTTTTGGTACCCAGGCAATTGCCCCATAAATATTCAAATATACAAATTTCAGTTTTCTTGTTTTTATTGGAGTTCTCTTCCAACTCTCTCCCCGAAATATACCTCAAAAACATTTCTGTGGTCGCGTCGCCCTGAAAACCAAAACAAAATGAAGTTCATTTTGGTGGAAATTGATTTACATGGACATTTTTTGGTGCTGTCCTTGTTGTTATTTTTGGTTAGGAATCGAGCTCATATGCTCATTTTTGGCCATGTACTCAAAATATTTAAATCAAAAACAGCCAAGGGAGATGGAAATTTTGGGGCGGACGACAGGTAGGTTTATCAAAATTTGGGCTTCAACATTTTGTTTGTTTTCGCATTGTGTCCACCACGATGCAATGAAATGGAAATCTATGCAAATGCATTCTGCCCCAGCATCACGGGAATAATTACAACGATAATGAAGACGAATGACGTTGATGATGCCGATGTGGCAATGATGATGAGAGCGGTGAAAAAGGATACTCTTGACGGCTGCAAGTGGGCCATTCTCATTGAGGTAATGAACGAACATTTTGGTCCTGCTAATTGGGACGGGCTTTAAATTTTAGTTGGTCGAAATTCCAGCTGATTAGCAAGTGATTTAATGGCAGCTTTAGTATGGGAGACTATTTAAATACAGATTTATTTATAGGATATTTACTTTTAATTAAAGAACTTTTAATACATGATTTCCGATTTAGTTGGCTTATTTATTAAACAAGAAATGTTACCATATTCATTGCAGTGGCTTCGTTAGTTTTCACGATGCCATAACATTCGGTAACATTTTATTCTCACGAAAATAATTTATCCAATTCAATCCTTTTACGACTATCATAAGTTCTCGATCCCAATCTAATGGCTAATAACCTTTTATGGCTTGACTGTATCGTCCGTTTTCCCGATGAGAGATCATTAAATTATCTTAAAAACCTCGTAAACAGATTGCACAAGTTGTTCGTGGAAAACCTCCGGCAGAAAAAAAGAAAATGGCAGAAAAGTGCCCGTAATGAGCGGTAAAATAATAACGGTCTATCCACATCCATCGCAGCTCTGGCAATACGCCAAAGTTAAGTCCTGAGCCTTAAATATAATCAATTAATAACTTAAAAAACAAAAGGCAAAGAAATGCAAAACCACCTGGAGGATATTGCCCGTATATACGTGAATATCGAGCAGAGAGAGAGAGAGGGGAGAAATGTGAATTTAAGTGAAATAAATGACTTTTACTTACTAATTAATGCCATCGTAGCCGGCGCCCAGTCCAACGTGATCGATGCCGGCGACTCGCTTAATGTGATTAATATGCGCTGTGTGTTGAGAGTGTGTTGGTCAGCAGAAGGATATCCGGTGGCAGGGTTGCCATTTGTTGTCAAGTTCATTAAGGGCCATTGTTAAAGGTCCGCCGTCATTGTTGTTGTATTTGCCGCCATAAGTCAGCGTTATTAAAATGTTCGCGAATTTGAAAATGTGTCCACGGCCGCCGGAAAAACAAAGGCAAGAAATGAGAGTGAAGAAGGGGACATTAGAGCCGTACTACAGCACTTAAAAAATATATATTTTAGAAAATTTTTTATTTGTTTATAATGAATTTTATTTAATTATTAATTTGAATGCTTATGTTTTTAATACTTTATCTTTTTACAACATTCAAAAATGTTTAAAAAATAGAAAATTAAAAAGAAAATGTTTAAATATAATTAAAAAGAATACATTTTTCTCTGTGTAAACCAAAAAAAGTGGGCTTCATCTGAGGTGGCTCAAAGAAAGACAGCGAATCCAGGAAGTGATTACGAGAGCCATTTTGATGGCTCGTCAAAAGCCATGCCACAAAAATCAGAATAGAAAAGGGGAACAACAGAGGCATTGCCAAAGGGGATAAAGAGAGTGCAAAAAAAAGGGAAGAGGAAATAATGAACTAACTGAAACAATGGCCTGACAATCAGGATTCTCTACAACAAAGACCAACCGCGACCAAGTCACTGGTTTTGATTGATTTCGGATGGGGCAAAGTTCCCTTAAAGGCATTTCGCAAGGTATAAAAGAAATTACAAAAATTTTTTTGCTGAATTGTACATAGAAATCGGAACATAATTATATATTATCAAGGATTGCATTTGATATATATGTATATAGTTTAGGATTTATATTTTTTCAATCAGAAATCAGTTTTTAAAAGATTTTTTTTTAAAGCTTGGAGTACAAAATACCTTTTTAAGAAAGACCTTCTAGTACTAATAAACATAAAATTAAAGAAAGCATTGAAAATGATAATTAACATAAAAATACTCCTTAAAATGTTTCACTTACCGACTGCATCGTGCACGGTTGAGTTGTCGCTGCAGGAGAGAAACTTCGAGTAGAAGTTGACCATAACAAGGCCGCCGTTCTTGGCCAGCGCCTGAAGGATATCGTCCTGGACGTTCCGGCTCGTGTTGCAGAGTTCGTAGGCCGAGGAATGTGAGAATATCACAGGTGCCTCGCTCACCTCCAGGGCATCTCTCATCGTACCCTTGGAGACGTGCGACAGGTCGACCATCATGCCCAGTCGATTCATTTCGCGGATGATTGTCTGCAATGTATGTTGTGTAATTGGATTAATCGCAGGTGTGCATTAGTTACTAAGTCAGTGATTAGTGCTAAGATGCTGCCTCTATCTCTCTCTATTTTAATATACTTATGTTGGATTTGCCTTAAGAGAAATTCCGAGGGCATAAAAACCTAAGCCGCATGTCATAAAACATAAGTAATGACCATCGAGCCAAAGGACATCTCAAAACGCTTTTCATTATGCATGGGGCTTTTATTTAACCTTTGGCTGCTGCCACTTGACCCCTTAACCCGCTACCGCCCAAGTAAATTGATATTGCTGGGCTGCCAGTGTAATTTGTATTTATGCGCGGATTTATGGGGATTCATTGGGCGAATCCGTGGTCTTATGTGTGTGTGTGTGCTTGTGGGCCTTACATAATTACTAATCTGATGCAAGTTGCCCCCGACTACGAACTATTAGCCCCAAGGAAACGCACAAATTATGTGGGCAAAATTTATTACACTGCTAGCCGTTAAATTAAGGAACTCTGATTAAACATTTCAATGGACGAAGAATTACCCAGAACGGAAGCTTTTGTTCGCTTCTTATCTCGGAATAGATTTTTAGAGTTATCTATGCGTTTGAGAATACAGTGGTAAAGGAAATGCTGCTCTGTATTTATTTTAATACAGTGCCAGAGTATATAAATTTTAATCTGCTAAATATGCCAGAACTATGTTGAATGAAATAAAAAAAATTATGTTAATTCCAAAAGTTTCTGACTTTATCGATAACTTACAAAAATATTGCCTACCTTTAAGGGCTTTAAAACGCAAAACCAATATTGCAAACTTTGAGTTTTTTACGATTAAAGATTAAATAGTGCTGATTAAATTTGCTTATAAAATTTATCAGAATTTAAGTTTCGTTTCCAAAATAATAATAGCCTTGAATATCCTTGCCCCCTTGTTATCCGTAATTTCCTGTCCAATTTGCAGTGTATTTTATGTCCGATGCCGCCTGGCAGATAATTTTTAATTGCAGGCATATATACACGACATATCGGCATGCTGATAAATGTATATGTATATACATATACTCCCACATATAGGCATATATTTATATAACAACCGTATAGCCATGTCAATTGGAGGCGGCGGCATTTTGGTGCCTCTCAAATTAGCCAACAATTTGTTGTTGTTTGCTGGCAGTTTGTATCGGGGTGTGTGTGTGTGTGTGTGTGTGCAATTGGGCGGAGTGTGTACTTAATGGGCGTGGCATTAAGGGCGAAGGCAAAAACACACAAACTCACACACACGCCGAAACTAATTGCAATTGTGTGCGTAAGAGAAAATGTGTATTAAATGCTTATTGTCGCTTAATTACGCACACAAAATGGCAAATAGAAAAGGGATAAGGGGGCGTGGCAGGATTCGATTTTGAGTGCTAGTAGGGCATTAAATCTTAATTAACGGTGCCTAGGCATAAATTGGTTTTATGCACTTCTATTTGTGTGCGCACAAAGGGGAAGAGGGAGGCGGACGGGCGAAGATAGTAAATTAAAATTAACAAATTATTTGGTGATTAATTACTTAGCCAGGCAACCGGAAACAAATAATTTGTCAGGCAATATTTGCTGATGTATATAAGCACATATTCCAATTATTTGCATGGAACCCAACAACGAGCAATCATTTGGTCAATATAAAATATACAAAATTATAATCAATTTAATTGAAATATGTTTTCCCTCAGCTTTGTGGGCTATTCTCCTTTTCATGCTCGCCCAGCCGCATTTAATTAAATTTTTAATTGCAGGTTACCAGCTTGTTTTGTGACAAATAAAATTAAAGGAATTTCAATACATTTTCTTACAACAGTGTAATACTCCCATGGCAAACAAAAATTTTAATATTTTTATGTGCAAATAACTATAAGAAATGCCTTGACTTGTGCTTTCAATTTGACACATTTCATCCTGAGGCAGCCTGGCTTGTCCAGTAAAAAGGACATTCGAACAAAGCCTGGCATCCAACAATGCCGTGGGTGTACCGATATTTAACAATGGCAATCAGACATTTTTTCATTGGTCAACTTTTCACATTTACTCATTATTGTCAGCGGTATTTCAGCCGTAGTTATTTTAAGTATTTGTTATTATTCGCATATGTTTTTCCAACAATGCTGAGTGCCTGACAGTTTGACACGAGCAGAGAAAATGGCATCGATTGTTATTAATTTTGTATGAATTGCTTTTATAGTTTAAATAATTTTGTATATAGATTGGCCCCCAAGCTGTGTTTGATTTCTATTTGTTGGTCGGATATATTTTGACCAGCTATCAATTAAAATGAAATTTTTCGCTTCGCTCTGGTATTCGTTCTACAAAAATATTTAATATGCAATTTATGAGTTTTGATAACGAAGGCCAAATATAAAAATTGCATGGCAAATCGCACAGAGATTTACCAACTGCAGGGGCAATTAGTTTAAGCCAGAACAGTGCAACAACAATCAGGCCACGTTTAAATTGAATTTATTTTCAAATTAATTTAAAATTTTCGCTCAAATCCGTTCAGCTAAAGGGGAAAATCCGCACACGAGCGAAAGTCCTGTAAACTATGCTAGAAATAATCGCTGTGAAGAGTAAATAAAAAAACTCGACACGGAGTAAATCCCAGCAAGTTGTTGGCCCTTTCACACAGAAGCATTAGGGTACAATACAAAAACTCATTAAAACTTTAAATTGAAATAAAATAAATGCATACCCACATAACTTATATGAATAAATAGAGAAATGTTTGGCTTACGTGCTTCTGCATTCTCGAAAGGGGATACATTTGGACAGGGAAACTAAAGATTTTTTCTCTTGTTAATATAACTTTAAAAACTATTAATAGCACGTTTTAGCTTGCAAGTTACTTTAAATCAAAAAGTTGTGTAAAACTTATATATAAATATTTTCTTTTTAGAATTTTAACAGTTTTATGGCTGCCTGGGAAAATTGCACTTTTGTGGATTTTCCCTTTCAACGGCATAATGCGGATTTTCCTCTGACCCAGTTATCAATTATCAATTATCGCTTATGCCTGGCAAATAGAAGAAAATACCAATTTGTAATTCCATTAGCCCGGGACCCATAACATTTGATTTATATGCTTGAATGCGAAAATGTGTGCAAATGCATTCAGGACTAAATGGGGAGAATGGGCAAATGGTTGGAGGATGAGGAAAACCGCCATCGTCTTGGGTTCTTGGGGTTGTTTAAATATTTGAAAATCCATTAAGCATATTGACAATGCCGATGTGTCTGTCTGTCTTTGTGTGTGTGTGTATGTGTGTTGGCATTCACTTAGGCATGGGTTTGTTTGGCTGTGTGTGCGTGGGAGTCTGCAACCCGGCTCTTATTTAAATATGGTCGCCTAAGGGTTCTCCTCCTTTTCCTTTCCTCTGATTTTTATTTTCCCTTCTGCGAGTTTTTCCCCCCTTTAACCCTCCACACTGATTTGGCTCCTGCTGAATGGATCATTAGTGCAGCTAATGGCGCAGGCAATAAATGGCGCAGCCACGCCTACAATTTGAATTTGAATATGAATTGAAATGCCAAGAAGTACACTGAAAAAAATGAAGTATAACTTTTCAAAAAGAAAAATGAAGTTTGTGAGACACTTTAGTGTAAGTAAGTAAGATCAAAAAAAATCATTTTAAAATCATTTTTTGTCATAACTTTTCTTAATTTTTTCGTAGTGTTTTGGCTTAGAATAGGGAAATGAGGATGGAGAAATGGAGGCCCTGTCTGAGGGGCTTACCACAAACAGACGCCGCTGGCATTTCCGTCCAAGCGATTGGAGTCGTTGAATGAAGGCGGCGCCAGGACCAAGACATAAAACGGATTTATTAGGTCATTGCTGGTTTTGGTTGTCAGGGGTCGGGAAATTCGGCAGGCGGGAAGCAGGGTTGGAAAACGAAAGGAATGGGAAAGCCAAATTCTCGGAAATGAAGTGTGGACATGCCGCTGTTTTCAGGGCGTGGAGCCTCATTACTTTAGCTAATAATTTTTGGAAAATGTCAAAGAACTTTGTGCTGACACTGAACTTGTTATTCGCAAATTGAAAAGGAAACAAACAATAAATTCCGTTACTCATATATGGAAATGACCTCTAGAAAAGCATTTCTTGAAAATGTATCTTTGTGCGGAGATTATAAGACTAGAAAAGTCCTGATTTAAAAACTCCTTTTAAATCTTATATGCCATCTCCTTAACCGACACTCTACTATCTCTGATCCCCGCAGGAATATTGCCAATGATTAGCAATCAAACGTCAAACTGCAGCGAAATACACTATTTACTCAAAGCTCAATTGCAGGTCATGCAGCCAAGCTAGCTTTGGGATACTTATGAGCTGCTCTGGAAAATCCTTTTCGTACATTTTCCTTACTTTTCAAGAATTGCATCATGCCTGAAATAGCAGAAAAATGCTCGACTCCTTCGTCAGTTGAGTTTTATTCACATTTCACCGTCTAGTTGTCTATCTTTCTGTCTGAGTCTATAATTGAGGTCCTTACTTTGCAGTCGTGGAGTTAGGGAAGCAATCAAAGAGCGTGGAAAGTGTGCTGGGGAAAACTGCAACTGACAAAACAGCCCAAGGGCACAAGGTGTACATAGCAGATGCTGAAGAGAAGCACCAGGAATTCATAAGCTGGGAAAATGAGATATAGAAGAGCTGAGATGAGCCAAAGCAAACACTGAGGTTGTGAAAATATGCGAAGAGCGTAATGAGGATGTTGCAATAAATTGCTTGGCAACCAAGGTAGAAATTAATTGGATAAATATTTTGGTAATGCCACAAGACTGCGAAACCAAGCAGAGAAAGTTAATTACAAGTTCAGCGGGGTTTTAAAATAGAGTTTCCCTTTTAGTTGGGGTTTTAAATCAGGATTGAAATAGGTTTTATTCTACTTACGAGCCTATTTAATTTTTAAATTTATACTTTCTATAAATTTAACTCATCTTTAAGGATTAAATATATGCAGTTTCT